TTTGATGGATTTATGTTTCTTTTTCAAGACCTTTTGGATGACACAACTTATTCAATCCTTGATTAATAATTAAAAGTTGTTGTATCTTAATTATTTTATTTCTTTTTGCCAAAAACAATTATGTAAAGGACAAATGTATTTTGTTTTCAAAAATAGTATATCCATGTCTGTCAATTTAAGCTGTTGTTTTTCAATTTTCCTGTATATTCGCTTAAGCCCCCCAATAATCGCTTAAGCTCACAATGTTCGCTTAAGCTACATCGTACTCGCTTAATCTGGTATTGGTTCGCTTAAGCCAATTTGTAATAGCTTAAGCTAGTTTATCAGTCCAAAAGAGCATTCTCTTTGCATTATTTTTATGCAATTTTTACTTAAGCTATTGGTTCATCCGCTTAAGCCAAGCCATGCACGCTTAAGCGAATGTGTAATCCTGGGAGGTGTGCTCTCTATTTTTTTAGGTTTAAGCCATTAAGGTTTCGCTTAAGCCCATCATTTGCTCACTTAAGCCTTATAAATATGCGCTTAAGCCCACAACTCATCAGTTTAAGCTAAATCAAGCACGTTTAAGCCAGTTTGTAATCCTGGGAGGAAGGTTTTCTAATATTTTTCACTTAAACGCGTATATTTTAGCTCAAGCGCACCAAACACTCGCTTTAATTCAATGTCTCGCTCTATGCTTGTAGTAATGGTTTAAGCCTTCATTCGCTTAAGTTAGCTCATATGGGCTTAAGCAAAAATTTCAAATTCGCTTAAATCTTATTAAATTGGCTTAAGCGAACGAAGAACTGTACATGCAGTTCCTGCGTCAACTGCACTGAATCCGTATCTTTTAAATTTAGGTTCCTAATGATGAAGATAGGAAGGGGACACAAACTTGGTTTTTGCAAGATTATGATTTAAGTAGTGGACTGGAGTTATGGTGGCTGCGGCAACAACTCTGAGACGGAGACGAAGACAGAGTTACAACACATTCAAACTTGAATTCTTAACGATGTGATGTAAGGAGGAAGATGATGCAAGCTTGATTTACAAGATTTTGATTTGAGTAATAGACTAAGGTCACGATGGTCATAGTGGCATCTCCGTGAGATTACTGAATAAAAGTTAACAATTTTCACACATCCCTAAATATTAGGGATTTAATTGCCTAATGAATAATTATATCAGAAACTAACAAAACATTTTAAAAAAAATCAAGAACTAAATGGTCATTTTATTAAATAAATTTATTCAGATAATGTATGTCATTTTTTTTTATTGTTGACACTTGTATACTTAATGTATAATTTTTTTTAAAATAAAACAAAGTAAAACCAGCAACGAAAATAGGAGCATAACTCACCTCGAAGCGTCTATTATTATAGGAAATCTATTTACCTTTACAATCGAAATGCATTTAAAATTAAATATGGAACAAAATAAGTTGTAACGGTGTTGGTATATATGAAGTGGAGAATGACAATAAAAAATTGATTATATACTTAATGTTAATGTTAACTAGATTTAGACGCAGGTGATACACAGTTTTGATTATAATTTACTCTGCCTTAGCCATAAGACTTTGATCATTTGATTATAATCCTTGAGATGAGATGAGTTTTCTTAGTCTAATATAATAACTGGATACTAAGATAAAAAATAATAAGAAATTTCATGTAAAGATAACATCATTGGTGATAAAAATCCCAAAATAAAAATTCATGAGACTTGACATTTATGTTTCGTCAAATGCAGACTTGTCGGCTTCTATGTTTAGACTTCAAAGATGCGCCATCTACCCTGCAGCTGGCCTTGACCAGATCCAATCTTTTCTATCAGGCAAGACAAAACTCATATTTTCAAGTGTATTAATATGTCCTCTTTGGATTTTAATAAGAGAAAAATATAAAAAATATATAATTTTTTAAATTTTAAAATTAATTATTTTATTAATTTTTAAAATATTAAATAAAAAATATAAGTTATTTTTTTTAAAAATCCATTCTATTACTTAATTTTGTATTCTTATAAATATTTATTGATAATTTTATTCAACCTAAGCTCAAATGTTTCAATTCTTAGAAGAAAATGTTTTTTTTTCTCTTTTTAAAAATAATTTAAAAAAAAATATAATATAATATAAATTTGTATTATCTTTTATTTTAAAAAAAGAAAAAAAAATTTAAAAAGGAAAAGAAATATATTCTAAATTCTCCACCTATAAGTTCTCTTATCTACAAAATAATGACATGTGTTTTTCTAAATTTTGATTAATTTTTATCTTCAAAAAATTCTCTCACTCAAAGAATGACACGTATCCTTTAAATATATTAATTATTTTTAATTGTTATTTTATTTTAGAAAATATTTGTCATTTTATGTAAGAAGGAAGATTTATAGGCTATAACAGGAGAATTCAACATTACTCTTCTTAGAAATGTATTATTTTTAATTATGTTACCTATATTTTTTATTTTTATCTTTATATATAATTTAAATATCATTTTTTACTATATTATTAAATATTGAAAACATATCATTTTTAATTTTAAAAATTTAAATAAATAAAATTCAAATAATTACTAATTTTTAAAAATAATTTTTTTTCATACTCTAAATAATATATTTACGACCTATGCAAATTTCATTTTCTAAAAGTAAAAAAAAAATTAGTGAAATCAAATTTTTAATGATATAAATACTTGACAGTGTCTTTTCGTACCAGAATAAAAATTGACTTTAAACCATGAAATATTTAAAATCTATTTTTATATTTTAATCTTAATTATTTATGATAAGATTTAATGGTTGAAGTTTGTTCTTTCTCACCCCTTGAACATATTAAATGAGAATGCTCTTTTTACACAAGAATGTCAAAATAAATTTTAACCATTAAATCTTACAATGAATAGTGAAGGGTAGAAATATAAAAGTTATATGATATTTTTAAGATAAAATTAGTGATTTGATCTTTTAATTTTTTTAAAAAAATCATTTTAAAATTTTTTATTTAATTTTATTATCTAACTTTTATTTTTATCTAAAGTAAGCCATTCAATTTTATTTTCATCTCAAGTTAATCATTTTGTTATAACATTATAAAATCTGGCAAAAAAAAAAAAGAATTTTAAATTGAGTCATTAGACTCATCTAATTCTGCCTACAGTCCACGGGATGCAACAAATTTTTAGGATTAATGTTAAAAATTAAATAGCGAGTAAAAGTTTTTCAAGAAATTTGATCAATTATTGACAAAATATAGAAATTTCATGATTGAATTAAACTAGGTCTCGAAGTACAACTCAATTAGATTTTTTATTTTAGCCAATGAAATAACGAAAAAAATTGATATATTATTCAAAGCTTAACATTAATTTCAATAATCATTCAAGACAAAATAAAAAAGAAAATTAGTGTTCAAAATTAGAGTTTGATAAAAACAGTGACTAATTAATCTCTTATTTTAACCTATAAAACATCTAAATTTTTATATGCTAGTCATGATACAGTGTAGAGAAACCCCTCAATGTTCATGAAAAAAAGAAGAAGCAAACTTTTGATAAAAATAAAAATTTGAAGACTGAATTGATTAAAAACAAGTTTAGAGGAAAAATCTAAAATAATAAATAAAGTTATACCAAATTTTTAATTTTTTTGTTTTAAAAAGTCACAAGACTTATTAAATCAATAATACATTATACAATTATTATATTTTTATTAGTTATTTGATAAAATTTTAATATGAAAGACTTAATTTTAAAAATTAAAAAACTAAAAAAATTATATGTAAATAATTAAATTAAAATGATTAAAATTACACATAAATTGAAGTATAGAAAGTAAAATTAAATCTCTTTTAATTAATATTTCAGTATATTTGTTTTGATTTTGTGTATATTAATTTTTAAAATTAATTTCTGACATTTAAAGATAATAGTTTTTATTAAATAAAGTGCAAATTTATCATATATTTATATATATTTAATATAATAAATATTTTTAAATAAAACTTTACTATTTTTAAACATTGAAAATCAACGCTAAGGTTGCTGTATGTGTTTTAAATATATGCTTTAGGACGTGTGGGAAAAAAAGTAATATTTTTATTAAAAATTATAATATTTAATATTATTGATATATTAAAATTTATAAATTTTAAAATTATCACATAATTTTTTTATTATACGGTTTTTAAATGTAAGTTTATATATATATATATATATATATTATGTTTTATGTCTAAATATTTGAAAATAAAATAAAAGAATTGAAAATTTTATGATTAAAAATAACAGTAAAAAGTAATTTTAAAACTACACAATCAAAATTATTTCATATTATTAAATAATATGATATGATTATATTAAAAACATAATGTTGATCAAATGTAAATAAATTTTATAATTAATCATAATAATAATTTTGAGCGAAAAAGAGTTATTATGGTTAATAACTTTGTATATTAAAAAAATTAATGTTTAAGTTTAATATAAATAAATATATGTATATATATATATATATTAAATTTTAGATAGATTAATATATAATTTTATAATTAATCTTTTCTTTTATTTTAAAAATAAATATTAAAAATAAATTATCACATATATTATTGATTAATTAATTTTTTAATTCAACATAGAATTAACAAAATTTAATTTTTAAATGGTACAGAAACTCTCATGAAGTATCTTGCGCTTAATTTTTTTACTAATATAAAAATTATATTAATTAATAATAAATTTATTTAACTTCAATTTTAAAAAAAAGTATTTATTATATTTTTTTATTTTAATATACTAACTGTATATTTTTTATAAAAATTATTTATTTAAATATATTTAAGAATTGAGATTATCAAGAATCTATTACTAATACGAGGTGATATAAAATAATTAGTTGCGGAGGAAGAGAGTGTTTTGAAGGTGGAAAATTTGGCCGACCTGAGTGGAGCCCACAGTTGGTCTCTCGCCACGGCCTGGGTGAGAAATTCAACTCAAATCAACCAATGCAAATACAAATATACAAATAGCGATGTTGTTGTTGTTGTTGGGTTTATATGAAGGAACTATGTGAATTGTGAAGTGAATCCTCAAAACAAAAACAGCTGTAATAATCAAACAAACAGTGTCAGCAATAAAACACAAACTGCAAAAGTCAATAAGGGCAACCTATGCCTTTTGGCCTCCATTCCATTCCTCACTTAAGACTTTCTCAACAAAACCAGACGGTTATCTACTCTTTCAACCATCCCTTATTCCTCCCTATTGTATCAATACAAATTAATTCTATTTTTCTTTTTCATTTGGTATACTATATTTTCTGTTTTCAACTCCATGCTCTGTCAATTCCCTCTCTCTTCATCCTCCAAGAATTAGAACGACCCAGTTCCTTTGCAGATCTTCCCTTTCGTTTTTTTTGGGAAAAGTTGGGATTTTTTGATCGGTAAGTGAGTTTTTGGATTACCAGTTTTACAAGGGTGTTGTGAATTTCCCCTCTTCTATTTTGTTTTTTTGGGTTGTTATTCGGGATGATTGAATTGCTTGTTTCAGTGATCGACAGTTTTTTCTTCTAATTCACACTTGGATTTTCTTTGGGAAGTTTTGGACTTTTCTCTGACTTTGAGTTTTTTGTTGCAGTTGTGTTTAGAAGATTGGCAGAAGAATTAGATGTTGAGTGATAGACAGAAAGGTTGAGGTGGGGTTGGATTATATGGATAGTCTTTGTTGTTTCAGCTCTGTTAGTCAGGTAAGGAATTCTGCCCCTTTGTAGTTTGTTTGTTTCTCTTTTTTTTTCCCTCCTTTTGTTTTTGGATTAATCAATTTCCAGATACTATACCTTGCGTTTTGGATACTTCCCATGAAATTTAGAAGGGCCTTGGAGGTATGACCTGGTTTGATAATGATGTCATATGACTATCTTCACTTGAAAGTTGGGATTTAAGTTCTGGTGGTGTATTAGTTAATTGACTCGGAGTCAAGATTTTCTCAAATTTTTTGTTTTCTGAATCTTGATGAAATTTTTTTTGTGTATTATGGCTGTCAAGGACCAACTGTTCTATAAGTTTAAGCTTTTATGTAGAGGTCTAACAGTGGTTTTATATCTCAAACATGCTCCTTCATGCAATAATGCTTTGGACCTGAACTGTGGACAATGCTAATACATGCTTTATCTCATACTAACATTTAATTACTAAGAACAGTGGGGTCTTGGAAGGATTTTCCTACAATAGAATTGCACCACAGGGTCAATCTTGAGCCTTGAATTTTGTTACCTTGGTTTTGGATGTACTAATAAGTATATCAATGAGAATAGTGATTCTAATACATGCTTTTTGAATGTTATATACTCCTAGTGGGAGAGTCAAGGGAGGAAATAAAAGTTGTGGAGAGAAGCTTTGGAATCTCATGATTTTCAACTAAGCAAAAGAAAGAGTATAATGGAATGCAAATTCAGCAGGACATTGGCTTGGATGTGAAAATTGGTAAACATACCATACTTTAGTCTATGTGGTTTAAGTATCTTCTATTTAACATACAAAGTGATGGAGAAATTGGAGGAGATGTAAATCCTGGAATTTAGGTAGAGTGGATGAAGTGGATAAATGCCCATCTTGTTTGTGATCAAAGGTGCGTATCATGCTTGAAGGAAATTTTGACTAAATAGCTATAAGACCATTGATGTTTTATGGTATGGAGTGTTGGGTGGTAAAGTGAAAACCAGAGCACAGGTAAAGTATTACAGATATGAGAATTTTGTGGTGGATGGTTGAACTTGTGCAATAGATATTATAGAGAAAAAGTAGCAGTAGCACCTATTTCAGAAAATATGACATAATCTTGCCTGACATGGTTTGGTCATGTGCGAATTAGACTAATTGAAGCCCTTGCAAGAAGAATTGATTATATGGAGGATAGCCTAGTAATAATTGTAGAAGAATACCGAGGAAAACTCCCAAGAGAAATCATTAAAAAAAACTACATTCTAACGGTCTTTCTGATAACTTGGTGTTTACTAGAACACATTGATATCTTTTGATTTATGTAGCTGACTTTTTCCAGTGGGAAAAGACTTTTGTTGTTGTATTATAAAATAATAGGGGTGGCGGGGAATAAACTCTTGACCACTTGGTCATAGAAACTCTAATTTCATTTTGCCAACTTGAAATTGTAAGGAACAAATGGAGAGAAGAAACTCCAATTAATATATTGATATATTATTATGATAAATAATAACTTATAATCCATGTTAATGATGATTAACAGCATGAATGATCTGTTTTTGCTGATCGCTGGACGCTGATCTGTTTTGGTCAACTTTCCTGTAATGTCTCTTTTATCTCTATATGGTGCCATTTATTTTGTTATTTGTGCTGATAGGCTATAGTTTGGTAGAATGCCAATGATGGGTTTATTGCAGTTTCTTTGGCATTGATTAAATTGGAGACTCATAACTAGATGACTAGATGAGAATATAAGATCATTGAGTAGGGAATATGTTTCTCCACTTATTTCTAATTATGACTTAGTGATATTTTCCAACTTATATTCCCTTCTTGTAATCATAGATGTAAAGTTTTTCTTCTTTTAATTCCAACTTATATTCCCTTCTTGTAATCATAGATGTAAAGTTTTTCTTCTTTTAATATACACTATTGAAATATGTTAAATTATAACAACAAGCTCTTCTCTAACTGCATTTTAAATTCTCTCTGTTTAGGTGGTTGGAGGCCGTTCTTCGTGTAACTCTGGCAAAGGCAAGAGCAGTCATTCCTCAGCCAAGTATGGCTTTAGCCTGGTTAAAGGAAAAGCAAACCACCCAATGGAGGACTATCATGTAGCAAAATTTGTGCAGTTCCAAGGGCAAGAGCTAGGACTTTTTGCTATATATGATGGACACCTGGGAGACAGTGTACCAGCCTATTTACAAAAGCATCTCTTTCCAAATATCTTGAAGGAAGTGAGTTGTTGACTCAAACTAAAGATATTATATATTGGCTATTTATTACCTTAATTTTATTTGATATCTCTGGAAAAAGGGTTTTCTTCCTTTCTATTTTATATTGCACATAGAATGAAAAATCTCCTCCTGTTCTAAACCTCCCATACCTTTTGCAATCAATATAGTACAATCAACCAATCCATTTTAGTTTAAGGTCTTGAAGCAATTGGTAAGATTTTTGACCTTGCAAATGATCTGCGTAAGAATGGGTAATGGTTAATTTAGCTTAATTCACATGTTGAATCTTTATAATGCCTTTTACTGTAATTTTATTTATGATTGGGATTGATTATCCAGGATGACTTTTGGGATGATACATTCATGTCCATTACTAAAGCTTATGAAACAACAGATCAGGCAATTCTTTCCCACAGTCCTGATTTGGGGCGAGGAGGATCAACTGCTGTGACTGCAATTCTCATAAATTATGAGAAATTATGGGTAGCCAATGTGGGAGATTCACGGGCAGTTGTGTCAAGAGGAGGGGTGGCTGTACAGATGACAACTGATCATGAACCCAATACTGAACGGGGCAGCATTGAGAACAGAGGTGGCTTTGTCTCAAACATGCCAGGTTCTTCATTTACCCTGAGTTCTATAAGTTGTTGCTTTTGATGTTCAACGCTGATTTATCTTTTCATACTATGAGATTCCATTCATATCTTTGTGCTGGGGAATAGTACGGTGCTATTATGTGTCTCATTTGCATTTTCAAATTACTACATGTGCAAGAGACAGATGGTATGCACTTATGTGAAAGATTTTGATGCTGCTATATTCATTATTTATATTCATTAGAAAAGTGAAGGATGAGTTAATGAAAGTTAAATGGTCATCCTTTGTGTTGTTAAGTTTTAATGGTTATAGTAGTGAAGTAAGTTGCAGTCGTTATGATATAAAAGAATGTTTCTTGTCATCCCCCTTGTGTCCAAAATGTGTTGGCTATGTTCATCCTAACATACCCTAAGAAACCTGAATTTCGATGAAAGCAATTATCCATCTTGTTTGATATAGTGTCACCATTCCAATTAAAAAGATGTTTGAATTGTATTCAATAGCTAAAAAAATAGGCTGCTCATCAGATGGTTAGGAGTAATGCAAGCTATGTTGTTAACTCTACATTTTAGAATTAAATCTACATAGATTTCTGTAATTTACTCAGCATACTGGTATTTATATACATGGAATAATAAATACAACTCATTGAAAAGAATAATGAAGAATTGGACTGTTTTTCTAAGATCTTATTGTTACCATTGTTTCTAAAATTTTCATGTTTCAAAGCAAGAATAACTATTGTTATCATTTCCAACAGTCCCCTCAAATTAGGACATGCAAATCATATACACCGAGCTTGTTACAAATATACGAGGACCTAAGAGTTTATTTCAATATATCTTACAAATATAGCAAAACTGAGGACCTCTGAGAGACTATTTCAATATCTCTGCTAGTTAATCATTCAAGCCAACAACATCAGTGTGATTTCTTTGGAGAGAAGTTTTCTTGGACTAAATGACGATTTATTTCTATATGCTTATGCCTAATCCTTTCATGGAAAAATGCTTAGTCCATTCAATTATCAGTTTCTTTAAGTATATTTTAGGTATACTTCCGTTATGAAATCAATAACAATGACCATCTCTTGATTAGGTAACGGCAATACCAAGTATTTAAGCTTTCCCAAGTCCTTAGTCTATTTAATGATGTTGTTCCTGATTTTAATATTTTTCAGAAGAACATATTCCATTGATTTGATCCATTCTGAGTTATATCCCTTCAGTCAGATCTGATTTGTTGCTAAACTTAGTGAATTCAGCCTGTAAGTGGGATGAGTGAAAAGGAGAAGACATGTGTGGTGCCTGCCTACTGTAATTTAGTTTCATTTAGATCAGTGTTTTTCTTGTGGATTGGAAAAAGCCATCATTTGAGGATTGTTGAAATTACCTAAAGATTGAGCTAGATAGTGCTAAGGTGTGAAGGCTTTCATTCAAGCAGAGAAAATGAAGGGGGCATATTTAGGTGTCAAGTTATTTTAGTTCCCAGTTAATGGAAAGGTGGATAGTTATGCAGTTGGAAGAATTAACGGGAAGGAATGCTAATAATCTAAAATTAGCAGGAAGGACCAATTAACCATTCCAAATGGTTATTATTAGTTCTCCACCTTTAATTTTGTATTGTTGATGGTCCTTTCAAATTAGTGGTTCACAATCACAATATTGAAATGCACGTACACGACAAGTGTTCTAATGAAAAAATGCTTCAGAACTAGATGTCCATGCAACCTTATTGCTTTAGTGGAGAGGCTGTTTCTTGACTAGAACTAATAATCATCAGGTCACATCTCACTAGACAGCAATTTTATCTTGCACCTAGTGTTTCCCAGATGATATATATGATTAACTTACAATAATCTGCTGTGTAGTTTCATACTTGTCTAGTCATGCCTGTTGACAGGTGACATTGTTTTGCAAATACATGAAACCCTTCCAACTTGGGGTTTATTTCACAAAAAAATTAGCATAAATGAGCATATTGCTGGTAGCATTTTTTATGCTGCCTCTGAAAAAATCTCTTTCTTCTTCAGACCGCAAGAACAAGTTTCTGTGTGCATTTCTCCAGTTTACTATTGTGGAATCATTTATTTCTAGAATAACCATCTGAAGTGCCACCTAGCCGAGGGTGTGCTCAAAATTTGTCAAAGTGGTCTAGAATTGTCTCTTAAGAGCTTCATTGGTAATCCGTTCGCCCAATCAAAATTAATTCTTCAGGCAAAATCAGTGGTGAAAAACAAGTTGTAAATCTAGTTGAGTGGCAGTGATATTATTTGATTCAGCTGGAATCGATTCCTCGTGTATTCCAAACATGCTTGTGATGGACCTAATGGCCATTATCCAATGTGTTAAAACGGTACCACTGGGGGCATGCTACACATTTTGGCTATAATTTAATTCTGTCCTGGTTTCTCATCTGTTCAATTTGTAGAATGGCTATTTTCTCGTTAATCATGGTTTGCTATTACAATAAAGTTGGTGTCACTATGCTTTATTGTTTTAATTTTTTTATTTAGAGATTAAGAAAAAGTATATCAGTTTAAGATTTCAACAGCATATCTAACTAAATCTTACATGAATAACTTGTCCTTGGATAAATTTATTACAAATTCACTACTGAGTGGAAGTTCTAATCACAAATTATATCTAACATTAGTGTGAAATTATTTAATACTTTATTAATAATGCTCATCATCAACATATTATTTAGTATACTTTTGAAATATATTAAAATAAGAATCATATGATTACATTCATATTAATGTTTAATTTTCAAGATTTGACACATAATTATGAAAATAAATAGTTATAATTCAAAGGTTAGATGGACCAAAATTACATCCTACAAAAAATTATTGAGTGGCATAAGTGAGTCAAATTTTACACCAAAGTCAATTGGTCACATAACCTAATATATGTAAAGAAATACGGTGATTCCTTCTTGTTTGAATGTTCTCTATTTTGCAATAATTTCTTCATTTTTGGGTTATATCAGGAGATGTTGCTAGAGTGAATGGTCAGCTAGCAGTTTCTCGAGCCTTTGGAGACAAAAACCTCAAAACACACTTGCGATCTGATCCTGACATTCAGTGCATTGATATTACCCCAGATATTGAGCTTTTGATACTTGCTAGTGACGGTTTATGGAAGGTTTTCTATTATTCTTTTTCTTTGTCTATTTTTTCATTAAGGAAAAAAAAAATGCTCTTTTAATACCTTAGCTTCACTCTAGATTTTATTTTTGTCCCACAAATAAATTTATTTCATAATTTCAAAAAATTTATTCCAAGTCCCAACTAGCTTATTCCAAATGCTAGTGCCACTCTGTATGGGCAAGTGCACTGTGAATTGTGCACTTATGCTTGTGTAGGATGCCATATTGCCACACCTATATGCTCCATTAGCATTTTCAACGGGGTTAGTAGTTGAAAAGTTTAAGAACAAAAATGATAACATTAAATGATTGAAGAAAAAACATTTTTCATAAATGCTTACCACTGCCCAAAAGATATTGGTTAATCAACAAAAAATGACAAGCATTTATTAAAACACCCGAGTGTGTTTTTAATAATAATAATAATAAAAATGATATTTATTGATATCTTAAAGTGTCCATAACTATTTGATGTACTTACATTTTGATATAACTATGTATTCTAGGTAATGGCAAATCAAGAGGCTGTTGATGTTGCAAGAAGGTTAAAGAATCCACAAAAGGCAGCCAAACAACTAGCTGCGGAGGCATTGAACAGGGACAGTAAAGATGATATTTCCTGCATTGTAGTTCGTTTCAAGGGGTAAAAAAGGGAACATACAATACTCTCTACATTCAGGCTCAGGGTATATATATTTCTACATGTCAAGACTTCCCCTTTAGGGATGCCATTCCATACTCATGAAATCCATTATCAATTTGGAATTTTCTACAAAATAGGTTTTGCCTTCCTTTCATATGTAAAAAATATAAAATTTAAGTTGTTGAATTTAGGTCGTGCCATTTAGTATTTCTTGATTTCTTCGTTGTGTAGATTCACACCATAATTTTTCTTTGTAATATGCCTTATGTCGGAGCAGTGTGAAGATGGCCACAGTTTATACATTGAACAAGTGATTTATGCATTTGTTTTAAACTTAGTGTATGAAATACCTTAGCTTGAGTTGCTTAGTCTCTGGCTACAACTCATGTGAGTATACCATTTTCCACCCTCTCTCTTTTTTTAAGAGGTATATTTTAAAGATATAGAAATCTGGTTGAATTAAATCTACCTGGTTGATGAGCGTTCCCTTTTGAGCATCATTTCTTTGATTTACAAATGGAAAGACTGGGTATCATCACTTTAAGGAAAGCGTTAACTTTAGTCTTTAAAATCAAATTTAAGCAATAATATTAACAATGTTTTTAAAAAATTATGTATATTTATAAATTTTATAAAAATTATTATTTTTGAACATTTGAAATTAGTCATAAGAATTGGGTTAACAAAATTGTAATTTAAATTGCACTCCATATAAGCTAACGATGTATAGATTTGATAATTTATATTGTTTTTGCAAATATTAATGTTTTAAATAATTTTAAATCATATCTTTTGTTATTAACCTTTATATATAATTAATAATGTATTATATAACTATTTTTAAATTTAATAAATTTAAAAAAGAGTAAATTCTATAATTATTAATAATAAAAATTTTATTATATTAAACAAAATAAACTATGAATATTTTAAAATTTTAAAATATCCAATTAAAAATAAATACATAATGTAGAAAAAATTTACTCTTTTGTTACCATAGAAAAAATTTGCTTAAAAGGATGAAAATATTTTTTTTTTAAAAATGATATATATAATGGGTCCATAAACACTAATTTTTTTTTCTTATCTATGCATTACAAAATATATATTAAAAAATAATAAGGAATAGCTCAAGCTCAGCAATTTTTTCTAATCTGTACGATAAAAAATGACTTTTTTTTTATCAACAAATAAAAATTGTAAAAGCCTATAATCTTTTTGTTTTATTTTATTTCAAAGCACTTAAAAATAGTAAAAGAAAATCAATGGCAAAGAAGACATGAAATACCATTCATACAATCAGAAAAAAAAAAAAAGGGAGAAAATAGAGGAAATATAAAATAAAAAAAAATGGAACAAGAATTCGTAATAGAAAATTTTAATTTCACAAAAAAGTGTTAGTTGAGTTGAGCAAAATGGTAGTGGTGAGTGGTGACACACTACAACAACATACACACCGATGCTGGCACATGGAAGTTCCACCACACAAGGCTCAGGATCTGTCTTTTGAATTGTTTTCTCTATTAGTGTCTTTTTTTTTTCAAGGATTTCTCTACTTAGTGAATAATTAGAAGATTAAGATTTGGACCCATATTCTCTTTCTTTTCTTCTTTTACCCATATTTTCTTAGAATAAATTCAGGAGTTGTTTTTTCAACCCCCCCCCCCCCCCTTCTTCCTTTCACATCCTATTAGTTTTTTTTTTATAATTTTTTTTTCAAAGTATCTTTTATGATAAAAAAAATCTTGTTTTGTTTTTTTTTTAATTTTAATTTTAGTGTGAAATTTAAAGTTTTAAAATATATCTAAATTTTGCTTCCAAAAATTAAATTATGGAAGCTTGTATAGAAATATGTATATGAAAGTAAAAATTGTTAATTTTGGAAACTTATTTTAAAATAATTAATAAATTTATAAATCAATTTATAGAAATATAAAAAAAATTGAAGTGTAAAATCTTAATTACATAAACTTATTTTTAGAAATTGTGAATGATTTTATAAATTAGTTTCTGAAAGTGTGAAAACTTAAATTTAAAAATTAATTGAGTTTCATAAACTTATTTTTGAAAATGTAGAATCCTAATTTCATAAACTTATTTTCAGAAGTAATTAATAATTCTGAAAATTAATTTATAAGAAGTGTAAAAATATAAAATTTAAAATGATTAATTTAAAAAACTTATTTTCAGAAGTGTAAAATCCTAATCTAGAAACTTATTTATGAAAAATATTAATAATTTTATAAATTAACTTTTAAAAGTATGAAAACCTAATTTTAAAAATGAATTTTTAAAGTGTAGAATCCTAATTTACTTATTCTCAAAAAAGTTTAGGGTTTACAAGTAGATAAACACTGATGAAGACGATTTTTATTCAAGAAATTTTAGAAAATGATTATTACACTCTAAAAAGAAAAAGGAGGTGAAAAATCAACCCCCATAAATTCATGGTAGCAAGGCCATGTAGATTAGCTTTCGACAAAAACAAAGAAGATTAACTTAGTGTACAAGTCACGTAGTATGAATAAAAGTCAAAGTTCTTGCGGGATATTGATTAATTATTGAACGTGGATCCGTCCTTGGGAAGAAATGAAAAGACTACACAGTTTTTGTTCTTCACACGCTATTAGACCTAATTTCTCTCCATGTTTTATCATAAGTTCGTTATTTTATTTTATTGTATAATGTTGATCATGATTCATGCAGGAAGAAAACTCAACAGAATACCATTGATTATTCAATGAGTGGCCCAAAAGTTAGGGAGTCCTAATTCACTCAACTTTCAATGCTATTAAAAACCTAAACTCAGAGTAATTGCAATTTACCTTTTATAGTTTTATAATTTTTTTTAATCTCTTTATATAGTTTTTTACTGAGATATTTTCTTATAAAAATAAAGTGACGTAAAAATGTAACATTGCACAAGAATCGAGTAATATAAAAAATATAGAAAGAGTTTAATAATAATAAAAAAGAAATAAATTAAGAAAGTATGAGATAAAATAAACTAATTTATAATTTAGTTAAGTATTGTAAAAATTGACATCATATATAAATGTAATATCATATGCACGCATATTAAAAACACCCATCACAAAATATATATAGTGACAATAAATAAATAATGTATATTTAATTTCAACCTAACATGAAAAAGATATAGTAGTGTATATATATCGCACATATTTGCCTATAAGTAGGTTTGCTGGGAAGAAGGAAGAAGGAATAACGTGTCAATTGAAAAGAATTGCAAGAGATAAAGAACACTTCCTCTCCTCTCTATTGCTTCTGTGCGGGTAAGAGAAACTCGCATTTGTATCCCCTGTTTCTTCCATGGGATACGAGAATGCAAACCTCACCATTGAAAAGGATGTTAAATTCATCAAACCTTCAAAACCCACTCCTACCACCATTCTTTCACTCTCTACCATCGACAATTTTCTCTCCCCCAATTTCTTCACCCAAAGCATCCATTTATATAGATCCATAAATCACAGTTCCAAACTTGAACCTGCACGTGTGATCAAAGAGGCCCTCTCAAAGGCTCTGTTTTACTATTACCCTTTTGCAGGAAAGCTAGTAAGACACGCTGATGGAAAGCTCAGAGTCCATTGCACCTCCGATGGAGTTCCATTCATAGAAGCTATTTGTCACTGCGACCTCTCATCTCTTAATTACCTAGACGACAATGATGTTGAAATTGGAAAAAACTTATCGCTTGATTTTCCTTCTCACGATGAATTTGGTAATCAATACCCTTTGGTTTTAATGATGACGAAATTTCTATGTGGGGGTTTTGCAATTGTTATTGGTTCTTCACATGCCATTGTTGATGGGAGTGGGATGGCTCAGTTCTTACGAGCCGTGGCTGAACTTGCAAGTGGAAAAACCGAGCCTTCTCTGAAACCTGTGTGGGAAAGAGAGAGACTAGTAGGCACAATAACCAGTGAACCGATGCAAAGCCCAGTAAGCGACGAGGGCTCTATTGCCGTTTCACCGTTTATGCCAACCATGGATTTTTCACACGAATGCTCCAAGATAGACGGTGACAGCATAAATAGACTTAAGACGAGTTTGAAGATAAACAGCGAAGTAATTACTAAGATGACAGCGAAAGGGTTTACCACTTTTGAGTCCCTCACTGCGTACATTTGGAGGGCAAGAGCAAGAGCCTTGAAACTAAGCTACGATAGGAAAACTATGCTAATTATCGTAGTTAGTGTGAAACCGCACTTACTTGATCCTTTGCCTGAGGGGTATTATGGGAATAGCCTTGTGCAGTCATATGTTGTGCAAACAGTGAGGGAGCTAAATGAGAAACCGCTGTTAGAGGTTGTGAAGCTGGTGAGAGAGAGCATAAGGAATGCTTTTACCAACGATTATATCAGACACTCGATCAATACTATGGAAACGAAATCGATGAAACATGATTATGAGAGTGGGGCTGTAACGGTGGTGACAGATTGGAGACATTTGGGTTTCTTCGAAAAGGTTGATTTTGGGTGGAAGGAGAAGCCAGTGAATAACATGCCAGTTCCTTGTGACATGTATGGAGCTTTGGGTTTGTGTTCCATCTTGTCTCCAACTAATTTGGATCCTTCAATGAATGGAGGAGCGAGGGTTTACACATCCTTGCCTCGTCTTGCCATGCCCAAATTCAAGCAGGAGATGGACAACCTTAGGCATATCGAAAATGCCTAGGCTAGGATTTTTCCACCTCGGACAAGTTAAGTGCACATGTATTATTTATATGTTTCTGTTCTTTTCCATTTTTATTATGTTTGAGTTATTGCATTATCTGTTGGTTGTGTCTTTTGTTTTCAATTCCCTGCGAGTCTTAATAGTTCTGGAAATGTGTTAATAAAGCTCCTTCTTTAAAGTGCGAAGAAGAATATGTGATGAACCGCTATTGACGGTGAGCTGTACCTGCATTGTTAGAAAATAAACCAAGTTTATGAAAATTCAACATTACCTATCAAATAATTATAAAGTTAAGAAATTCAAGTTGGACACTAAAACTTGACATGTGAAGATTCATAAAAATCTTAGGAGATAAGAGATGGTCAAATATTATGGCACTAATTAGTAAGTGTTTTAATTTCAAATTGAATTTTGAATAGCTAAGTTTCTTGTCAAACTTAAATTTTTATCATGAATACTAAGGAATTAAGCTATATAATTTTATGTATTATTTTAATCATTTAGTTTAGCTATATAAAAAGCATAGCATGAATTATGTATTGTATAGTGAAAAATTGAATGAATAAAATTTTGAGTATCTGTGAATCTGTGGTATCATGCATTGAGTAACCAATATGTTGAGATTACGACTATAGTCCTGCATGAAAAGTTAAATTTGTAAAAAACACTACTTTTTAATTTACTGACTCTACCTTATAAGACGCTCCCATGCAGGAAATGCATCATATAAGAATACTGGTCTATTAAAGTAACGGTTAAATTAAATTAAGGGTGAGGATTATTTTTAGCTTTAAAAAAGTGCACGTAATCTCATTGTGAATGTGTTGCATTGTAGTAGTAACTATTTCTAGAATTTACTGTTGAACAAACATCCAACCAAGATCAATATATAAGGATAAGTCTTAACTGTTATGCTCTATTGATTAATATCTGGAAAGCATAAAAAAATATAGAGATTGATTTACCTTCAAATAAATTTAAAATAATTTTACATTCTTTTTGTTACAACAAATGAGATTTACGTTCAATTAACTCAGCATGGAACACATTCAATCTACTATGTAAGATATGGCATCACCCTTCATAACATATCCATTTTGCTTTCAGTGCCAACTATAATGAGTATGTATTCAGTTCTTCATATAAAATATGGCAGGTCTAAAACTAGCCCTCAAGAGTATCCTGGGTATGGTTCTGTTATACTACAATTTAAATGCAGCAAGAATCATCATCTTCACTGAAATAGCGCCCCTAGTGATGATGCCCTGTGTTCCAAGTGCCAAGAAGCCACAAGAAAAACATTACACATGGCAGCTGGTGCTGGTGATTCTTTCATAGTTGTCCTCTACTTTTTCTGCTTCTCGACTAACAAAAGAATTTTCAACATTGTGATCATTTTGGGTTGTTTGAGAAGTTTGATATGAGCATAGTACTTAGGACAACTTGACTGGAGTCTTTTAAGTGAAATTGTACATTGCCAACAACTGCAATTCAACATTAAATAAATTGAGATGGCAATAGTACCTCAATCCATGGAACATGCCCGAGTCGAGTTTAATGAACAAAATCAATTCTACTTACCTTCATTTTTATATCATTTAATAGTTTTTTAATAATAAAATTAATTATTAAATTAAATAGTTTAATTACATATATCAAAATTAATTTAATATATTTTTTAAAATTTTATAAAAATAAAGATCATTTAATAACAATAATCTTATAAATATCCAATTTTAATAAAATTTAACACAAATAATTTAAGTAATATAGAATTATAATTCAATGATTATATTGATAGATATTTTTTATATTAAATTATTAACCATATAAGAGTGAATATAATTTAACCTGATAAAATTTGATTCTTTTCTTTATATATGTATTAATTAATAAAACTACAAAATGTTGTCATTGGGAATCAATTCAATAAATGTAGATGCGTTGGGGTACTGTCCTAAAGTGGGGGCCAAGAGCGATGGAAATAGTTTTGTTATTGATTGGGCATTTAGTCATCAAATATTTTGGGCTTCCTATTTTAGCTTTCCCTACTACACATACACATATAAAACCTACAACATTTACCTCATCACGATTGCAATTGCAAAAGAAATAAACAAAATCTTTTAGACTTATAGTAGTGTAACGAGGATAACAAATAGAATCAAAATTGTGAACATGGGAAGGAGGATTACCTCATTTCATTTTTATTTGAATTAGTACACTTTACTTGGAAAATTAGAGAATGAGATACTGATGTTAAGATACTTCACATAGAAATCTTTGTAATCATAGCTTATTTTTTCATTCACAAGTTGTATATATAAGTTCGTACGCATTGTAAGTCTAGAGAGAAAAAGCACTGAACGGAACAAAAAAAGAAAAAAAAAACACTAGTTTAAAGAAAACAAGTGTCTAAAAATTATAAGTATTAAATGTTTCTTTTACTACTTTTAATGTCTTTCCCAACTTTTTTAAATATATATTTTTTAAGAGTTTTGTTATTTTTTTTTCTCACATTCTCGTAATGATTATTTTACTATTTTATAACATAAACATAAAATAAAAAATTATTTTTTTTAATTGATATCAATTGCCTTATGTTAATGTATTTTAGAATAGTGCAGCAAAAACGTGTTACTGAAGCAATTTATCTTTTTTTTTATCACTTTTTAAATATTTTTCACCAATGGCGGACTACCATAGAAGAAGATAAACTCTCACTTATATTCGTCGCGCAGTTAATTGTTTAACCAAGAGCAGCTCAATATTCTTTGGTGCGTAAAGCTAAATATAAAATGAAGATTTTACTAAAATTAATGAAACATTTCCTTTACTATATCTTAATCTCTTAGTAGAATAATACTTGCACATTGAACTTTTTCTTGATCTTTTACAAACGACGTCAAATGTTCATACTCACAGCACCTTCTCGGGGTTTTAATTTGTATCTCAATTAGAAAGACGCAAATATCTATGAAATTAAATATGACGCTCTTTAGGAACATTTCTAAAGTTACCAACAACAGGACGTTGTTAAATGTTAATGTTTTTAACTGTCATTGAACGTAAGCATGCAGCATGCAAACGTAACGTATATATTGATGAAAATTGACTATGGTTATGTGTAGCCCGAATTTCAATGGTTAAAATAGACAGCGATGATCAAATTTGAAGAAGTATAAAAACAAAGCTGAGTTACATTTGCATGTTAAGTAGCCATTTCCCATGTTCAAAAATCAATTTTTTTTCTAAGAATTTACCATATCATAGAACAAACCGTTTTCTATAAATGTCAAAGATCTCCGAAGACGAGAGTTGTGGCTCCTGCAAATCCAAATCCAACCATTTAGTACCAACTTCATACTCTAGGGTAATTTAGTACTCTAAATCCAATATGAAGCTTATGAGTTTGGATATTTTATATTAATGTGTGAGTGTGAAAGAGAAAGAGTAATGCAGACCTGTTTTATGTCCAGACCAAGAAGTCTATTTAACAGCGAAACAACTGGACCATTTAGAACAACTATGCCTGTTTTTGTCCCACGGATGGTGGAACGCATCACGCTGAGCAAACGACCATAACTCACTTCAGGTTCATTTTGCACACTTTGTATGAAACTATAAGTCAAGGCACCAGTAACTGCTTTGCCACTTAAAGCCTTATCAAACCAACCCACATAAACTCGTCAATCTTTACTCAAAACAAAACAGTTATAATTAAGAAAAAACAAAATGTTTACCATAATTCTTAATATTAAATTTAAGCTACTAAATTTAGTTAATTTTTATTAAAAATATAAAACTATGATAAATATTTTATTTTAAATACTTAAAATCGCCAGTAAAATATAATTAGTATTAACAAAATCATGAAAAAAAAATTTACATACAGAGGTATCTACGGAGATTTGATCAACATCACAAGCTGAAATACAAATTGCTAGACCTCTTGTAACATTATTATAAGCTCGAGGGAGTTTATGATCCTCCCATCTGTAATACCCTTCCCTGAAACAACATATTCAATTCACCAAAAGAGTAGGCGCAAGAGATGTTCAGAAAGCATGCATTATTCCTAAACTGACCTGTTCATGTTGCACACAAATTGTAAATCAAGAACAGTCCCACTATGACATGCATCAATAATGGCATGAAGTTTAGCACCATGGGGTAGTGGCCTAACAATTTCAGCGTTAATCTCATCACCAAGTATTTTCCCCTGGTGTTCATAATCAACAGGACATATTGCTTCATCAAACCCATCAACCTCGTCCACTTTCATTTCTCGTGTGCCATGTCCTGAGAAGTGGAACACCAATGAGTCCCCTGACCTGCTACCCTCAATCAGCCACCTCAAGGCCATTTGAATGTTATGTTTTGTTGGGATTCTCAGTGGGTTTCTTTCCTCCCTATCATCTGTGCGTAGGTTCCAAGTGTTCAGACATGAGATCTTACATTACATGGGCCTTTATATGTTTTCTTTATTGGATTTCACTACTCTTTAAAAGCCCGAAAGAATATATAAAGTAACAAAATAAGAATGTATTAAACAATAATTTGAATTAAAGTACATTATAATTTAATTTATTTTAAATCGACGGTAATTAATATATCATTAATTTTATTTTTTTATTTTACGCGTCTCCACCCTGTATATATTATTTGTTAGCTCTTATTATATCACAAATAAATTTATAGATATTTGTTTCGAAATGTTAATATCATAGTGAAGGATTTTTTCTCATAAGAAAAAATATCATGGTTAATAAAATGAGAATACCTGTGAGCATAAGGATGGAGTCACTAGGAAACCCAAACTGCTTAATCAAAAAGTATTTCATGCATTTTACATCATTCACGGTGCCCTTAAGTCTGTAACTCTTCCCGTGGTAGCATATTCCACATAGCACTGCCCGCTTTGAACCATATGCAGGAGGAGGCATCAAGGGGTATGATGGCCTTAGTGACTGAGGCTGAGGATGATACCCAAAATGAGTTGCACCATAATAACCCGGATTGCTAGAAGTGTTAACTGAACTTGTCATTATAGTATTTATGAAGCCTCTAAAACGATCTGCAATGTGATAAATGGAGTTGTAGGCTTGACTCAATGGACCTGTGGGGCGAATATGGGTGATGCCATGGCACACTGCACACTCAAACACATGGACCTCTGGTGGAACCCCTAATACTATTCCACAGTGATTACATTTTTCTTGTCTTCTTGCCATTGTTTCCCTTTCTGTTTGAAGCTATTGAAGAATGGTAAGGCCTGTGAAAGGATGAAAGTTTTTTATAAATTATGAACACACAAAAAACAATAGGGTAAAGTCTTAAGAAGTGTCTATGAAATTCAGCTTCAGCTATCTATCTGGGGAGTAAGATGCAGAATTGGATTCCATTTAATTACTTTTTCTAGTGGAGAGTGAATATATTGACTTGCTTGTTTTTCTGTCGGTTGGACATTATTTTTGATAGGGTGAAGAATATTAAGGAACCAATGAAATCTAGCTTTCTAACATGCACAAGTTACTGCCGTATATAATTTGTTGCAAAATTTGAAAGTACATAGAAAAGAATATATACGAACATATTCCTGCTAGTTTTGTACAGTGGAAGAAATTTCAATGGTTGTGTTTGTTTTCAGTGCTGGGAAGCCCATGATTTAAATAAGGAGGTCCTCCTTTACAGCCAAGAGTAGTGAATTTTCTTGATAGAATATATTTGCTCATCTGAAATTTTAAGATATATGTAATAAAGGATTGATTTGGACGTGACTCCTTCGGAAGGAACAAAAGTTTTTTATTCCCTTAATTGTTTGACATAACCTTGGCACAGGTTTTATAATTATATAAGAAACGAATATCAAAGAGATTCCAATTACTATGGCATTGAGATATATAAAATTGATTATCAAACTCCATATAAATCACATTTAAGCTGGTGATTTTGTAGTTTGATTGTCAATATCTCTAAACCATAATGATTGAAATATCTATCTTTCCATCATATCTACTTCTCGTACATAATGAAACCAAAATGATAGACAAGGTTACCTATTTCCAACTGAATCCTCGTAAACAGGAACATTCGATACAATTTGGGGCCTTATATAGTAATTTCAATCAGGACCAAAGAATTCTATCAAGAACATTCTTGGCTGTAAAGGTGTTTATGGGCCTATAGGCACTGGAAAAGAAAATACGATTAATTGTATAAACGGTTATTAGAAATTGATACAATTTTCTAGAATAGTCTAGAAAAAATACTAAGAACAATCTAGGAAAAATTAATTGTATCTTCTAGTATGTAGATGCTTCTAGAGAAAGTTCTAGAATATTGTAAATTTTCAAGTTTCTAGATAGCTCTAGTATATTGAACCAAATGGTGGATGATGCCTATAAATAGGCATGCTACCTCATTGTAAATGCAATGAAGAAGAAATAATCAAGACATCAATTCTCCATCTCTTGAGTCTCTTACTAAAACTTCATCAACTACTATTTTCAACTATTCCTACTAACACATTTCAACTATCTTACTCATCTCACCCACACTAAAAACTATCAGTGGCATCAAAGCTACGTTCGGTCATCTACTGGGCGTAGAAATATTACCATACTATTTTAAAATTAAAATAAACCACTTCCAAAAATTTCCTAACACATGGCTAGCACTACTCAACCATCATCTCTTTCCGTCCCCATTTTTAATGGCGAAAATTATGATTTTTGGAGCACAAAAATGAAAACATATTTCACGTTCCAAGATTTGTAGGATATTGTGAAAGAAGGATTTACTACTCCCTCAGACATATCATCCCTTACTGCAGCTCAAAGAAAAGAATTGAAAGAGAATAAACAAAAGGATTCAAAGGCCTTGTTTACTCTACAACAAGCTGTGACTGATGCAATTTTTCCAAGAATAATGGGTGCTACAACAGTCAAAGAAGCATGGAGTACGCTGCAGGAGGAGTTTGAAGGAAGTGAAAAGGTACGCGCTATAAAACTCCAAACTCTACGGCGAGAATTTGAATTATTAAAAATGAAAGAGTCTGAGACCCGTCAAGGATTACTATTCCAAAATAAAAGAAATGGTTAACCAAATGAGAGCTTATGGGGAAAATATTCTTGACAAAAAGGTTGTTGAGAAATTACTGATCACAGTTCCCCGTAAGTATGATCCAATTGTCACTACTATTGAGCAAACAAAAGACCTATCTACTCTATCAGTGACAGAGTTGGTAGGGTCCCTTGAAGCTTATGAGCAAAGGTTGAAAAGGCATGATGAGGACTCAATAGAAAATGTCTTTCAATCAAAGCTCAAATTACGGTCTCAGAATAAAGGGAATGAAGCAAGAAAGAATAATGGAGAAACTTCTAGAAACAAAGAGAATTCTAGAAATTTCTCTAGAAACAATCAAGATAAATACCCTCCACGTGGTATTTGTAAAAGGACAAATCATGCTGAAGAAAAATGTTGGTATCATGAAAAACCACAATGTCGACACTGTAAGAAATTTGAACATGTGGAAAAGTATTGTCGCAACAAAAACAAGTATCAAGCAAATTTCGCTGAAGAGGATGATCGAGAACCATATTTTTTCTATGCTACCCAAGATCCCAGTACTGAAACGAGTGAAAATTGGTACTTGGATAGCGGTTGCAGCAATCACATGGCCAAAGATATAAACATCTTCAAGGATATCGACGAATCCATCAAAGTGAAAGTTCGAATGGGGAACGGTACTATCGCTGAGTCAAAAGGCAAAGGCACTGTTATGGTGGAGACAAAGAAAGGTATGAAACTTATTACTGATGTCTTACTAGTCCCCAACCTCAAGGAAAATCTCTTGAGTATTGGCCAAATGATGAAGGTTATTCTCTTCACTTCAAAGGGGACACATGTAAGATATATGACAGCAAAAAGCAAGAGATTAGCCAAGTAAAGATGGAGAAAAGAAATCGAAGTTTTCCAATAAGCTTGCAACAAGGCGCTAATATTGTCATGAAAACAGAAGTTGATACTTTACGACTTTGGCATCGAAGATTTGGCCACTTCAATACCCATGCCTTAAAACTTCTACATCAAAAGAATATGATGAAGGATCTTCCATGTCTTGAAGAAAATAATGAAGCCTGTGAAGGATGTCTCCTTGGCAAGCAACATCGACTGCCATTTTCTACTGGAAAAGCGTGGAGAGCAAAAGACTTATTGGAGCTTATTCATACAGATATTTGTGGCCCAATGCGAACACCATCACTTCATAACAATAGGTATTTTATCATTTTCATCGATGATTTTTCTAGAATGACTTGGGTCTACTTCATCAAAGCAAAGTCAGAAGTCTTTAGAATATTTAAGAAGTATAAGGCCCTTGTCGAGAAGCAAAGTGGTAAACAAATAAAAGTATTAAGAAGTGATCATGGCAAAGAGTATACATCTCAAGAGTTTGATAAATTTTGTGAGGATGAAGACATTCAATGACAACTTACTGTCGCATATACTCCACAACAAAATGGAGTAACTGAGAAAAAAAAACCGCACGGTAATGGAGATGGCTAGATCCATGCTGAAGGAGAAAGAATTGTCAAATACTTTCTGGGCTGAAGCAGTTTATACTGCTGTCTACATACTTAACAGATGCCCAACTAAGGCTGTCCAAGATAAAACTCCAATTGAAGCTTGGAGTAGGCAAAAACCATCAGCAAAACATCTAAGGGTTTTCGGATCAATTTGCTACATACACATTTCAGAAGAGAAGAGACACAAACTAGAAGACAAAACCGTACGAGGTATCTTCTTGGGATATAGCACACAGTTAAAAGGATATCGAGTCTACAACTTGCAAACCAAGAAGCTCACCATTAGTCGAGATGTTGAAGTTAATGAAAATGCTGCTTAGAATTGGAAAGATGAAAAGGTTCAGAAAAATGTTTCCATACCAATTCAGCAACCTCTAGAAATTGAAGAAGTCTCAGGTGAGAATTTTTCACCTTCACAACAACAACATTCCTCACCAGAGTCTACTCCAAAACGAGTTAGATCTTTGGTAGATATATACGAGACCTGTAACATGGCCATAACTGAACCTGAGAGCTTTGAAGCAGCGTCAAAACAAGAAGTATGGGTCAAGGCAATGGAAGAAGAGATAAAAATGATTGAGAAAAATAACACATAGGAGCTAGTAGATTGCCCCATAGATAAAGATATCATTGGGGTAAAATGGGTCTATAAGACCAAGCTTAATCCCGATGGCACCATACAAAAGTACAAGGCAAGGCTGGTAGCTAAAGGATACTCATAACAACCTGGAGTTGATTACAACGAGAAATTTGCTCAAGTTGCTCGCCTGGATACTATAAGAACTTTAATTGCTCTTACTGCACAAAAAGGATGGAACATTTACCCACTAGATGTAAAATCTGCCTTTCTCAATGGCATTCTTCAAGAAGAGATTTATGTGGAGCAACCGCAAGGCTTCGTCAGCAAAGGTAATGAAGGCAAAGTACTAAGACTGAAAAAAGCTCTCTATGGATTGAAGCAAGCTCCACAAGCATGGTACAGTAAAATCGATCAATACTTTACAGATTAAGGATTCAGGAGGAGCAAAAGTGAGACAACCTTATACACCAAGATCCAAGGTCAGTATGACATACTCATTGTCTCCTTATATGTAGATGATCTTATCTGCACAGAGAACAATATGGAGATGATAGCTAAGTTTAAAGAAGATATGATGAAGACCTTCGAAATGACAGACCTTGGCTTGATGAACTACTTTCTCGGAGTAGAGGTAAAACAAAAGAAAGAAGAAATATTTATCTCACAAAAGAAATATATTGAAGCATTACTCAAGAAATTTAAGATGAATGGATGTAAGACGGTTAGCACTCCATTGGTGACAAATGAGAAATTGAAGAAAAATGATGGAGCACCAGAAGCTGATGCATCACGTTACAGAAGTTTGATTGGAAGCTTACTATATCTCACAGTCACACGACCAGACATAATGTATGCTGTAAGTCTTCTTTCAAGATTCATGCAAAGTCCAAGCCAAATTCATTTTGGAACAGCAAAAAGAATTCTAAGATATCTACAAGGCACAAAAGAGTATGGTATATGGTACCAAACTATGAGCAACTCAAAGCTACTTGGCTACACTGACAGTGATTGGGCAGGATCGATCGACGACATGAAAAGCACATCTGGTTATGCCTTTTCACTAAGATCAGGAACAATCTCATGGGCTTCAAGGAAGCAAGCAACAGTTGCACAATCAACAGCAGAAGCAGAATATGTAGCAGCTGCTGAGACTACAAGTCAAGCAATATGGTTACGAAGAATACTTGAAGAAATGGGAGAAAAATAAAATGAGCCTACTACAATCTACCGCGACAACAAATCAGCTATAGCAATGACAAAGAATCCAGTGCATCATAGTAGAACAAAACACATAGCAATCAAATATCACTTTATCAGGGAAGTAGAAGGAACTAAAGAAATCAAGCTCGAGTATTGCACAATTGAAGATCAAATTGCAGACATTTTTACTAAAGCACTACCAAGACCAAAATTTGAACAGCTACGCACGAAGCTTGGAGTTACAGAAATTTGCATCAAGGAGGAGTATTAGAAATTGATACAAATTTCTAGAATAGTCTAGAAAAAATACTAAGAACAATCTAGGAAAAACTAATTGTATCTTCTAGTATGTAGATGCTTCTAGAGAAAGTTCTAGAATATTGTAAATCTTCAAGTTTCTAGATAACTCTAGTATATTGAACCAAATGATGGATGATGCCTATAAATAGGCATGCTACCTCATTGTAAATGCAATGAAGAAGAAATAATCAAGACATCAATTCTCCATATCTTCAGTCTTTTACTAAAACTTCTTCAACTACTATTTTCAACTATTCCTACTAACACATTTCAACTATCTTACTCATCTCACCCACACTAAAAACTATCAACGGTACTTCAACTGTACAAAAAACTTGTTGGAACCTACATATACATGTGAGGAGCTGCAACTCCTTTGCTCACGAGGGTGCTCAATTTCTAGGAAATAAAATATACCCAAATGGAGCTAGCCTTATAGAAATATTAAATCTGAAAGTATAACAATATAACGAGAACTATTTTCATTAGATATATATTCCCGGGGGATTTTTCAAGAGCAATGCTCTTCTCCGTTATTCCAATTCAAAAACCCTACCTTGATTTCAGTTTCTACTTCTAGGTCACAACGTATTCATTTCAAATTAATGACAGTGTAGACAAACCAAGGAATTGCACGAGAATCGATAACCAAGCCGAAGTAAAGAGCAGTCTATTTTTTAATGTGTGCGATAAAGTCACTATTTGATTTGATTAATCAAATTTCATCATAAAATTTGTTTAGGTTTTGTTAACAAAGATTATATATTAACAGAAATTATTCTGACGTCTAATATTTTATGTCCATAGGCTAATGACGACTTTTTTAATCATAATTCGCACGTATACTATAATTAGATAAGTTTTGAAAATAAGATGGCTTTTTAGACAATAGTAATATTGCCGAGGATATATATTTTCAACGCTATTATCGAGTATTTATGTTCATAGGTGGGAACTCGTAGCTGCCCAAGAAAGCCTCACTTCACAAGAAGGTCTTTCGAAAGGGTGATGCACAATCAACCCATAAATGCACATCCTAGAACATGAGTATTATCATCTCTCGTGTCGGTTCATTCATTATCACCAGTAGTGGCCACAATTACTGAAAGCAAAATCCTGTAATTCTGCAATACCACAATCATTGGTGCTGCGCTTGAAATTAAATACAAATACATCAATTGATTCAGATTAATGAAAAACATTTTACAAGTGCCGTTCTGTCTAATTCCAGTCATCAGAAAAAATATTAGGCAGAGATACGCAATTCCTTGCAACCAATTTACTCATCGCGGTATTCTTTTCCAACTTACTTCCTCACAATATGAATTTTGTCGTAGAAACATCAAATTTCTCTGATGACGATAAAAGAGGTTCCTGCAATGTGTATTCAGTTTGATCATGAAAACTATATATCACGAACTGCTAATATAGGATGTTGTATAAAAATAATTGGATTAGGGGATATAATAAATCACATTGACAATTAATGAGAAAAAAAATTAAGTGATATGTGTTTGATATGCAGCCTCGTGTAGGTAACATTTAACTCCTCGCAAGTCACAAATAGTTGAATTTTGGGGACTAAATACATGCGGTAAGAAATGGTAAACATAGGCTTTTCTCAGAAATTAAAAAAAAAAGAAAATACTAATTTTAAACAATCTAAACAGTTCACAGCAATTATTCACTCTCATAGTTCCGAGCTGATTCATGTTCATGCACGAGAACTTTTCTAGGAGATTCTCATTCATTGAAAGAATCAAATTCACTCAAACTTATACAAGCTTGACCTTCAAAGACTATCAAAGATGTTGTTACTTGCAAAAATAGTAACAATAAATGATGATGGAATCCAACCTGTGCAATTTTACGATTGAAGATATGCTGCAATATGCGGTTATTGCATCTGCTTCGGTTAAGCTTTTTAATGTCGTCATGCAACTTTTCTAGGAGACGCCCATAAGTTATTTCAGGGTATTCTCTGACTGTTTTTGTGAAAAGATAAGTCAGAACACCATTCATTCCCTTTCCACCAAAAACCTACGTCGGTTGGTCAAAACCCACCATGAGGTAAACAAGTATCTATATGTTGAACTATATAGCAGTCTCATCAAATTTTGATACCTATTCTATTACAGTTATCTTTCCTTATGTAATAGATTTTTAATTTTTCCAACTTTTAGTTTAAAACTGGTAAAATTGGGAGAAAAAAATATTCACTAATGTTTGGATTAAAAAGTGAGGGGAGAGAAAAATTTAGGGGTCGCTTTAGTTTTAAGAATTGTTTTGTTTTCACTTTTAATTATAAAAATATCATCCTACTTTTATTTTCAAAGAGTTGTATAAAAAAAACTAGTTAAAATAATAATAAATTATATTTTTACTTTATATATAAATATTTAAAAATAAGAAATAAACTAAAAAATAAAGCGACATTTTCTAATTAAAGAAAATAAAAAGCAGCATTAAAATGTTTTCTAAAATTAAAAGTAGTACTAAAACTTGTTTCTAAAAATCATTTTTTTAATCAAATAAAGAAATACATTGTTATTTACGTTGTCTTTTCTCTCAATGTTTTTATTTTCGTTGAAACAAATTACAAAGTGGAGTATATAATGCAGAAGGAATAAAATTTTTCTTGCATTGTCAAGTACAAACACCCAAATTCTTACTGCGCTATCAGCGGCTGTCTGACTATCTTCACAAGCACTAAGACTAATCGCCAATCCACCACTTGTATGTTTTCTGATAGGTTCTTTTGAGGGGGGCTTGTTATCCTCCCACATGCCACTGCAAGCATACAATAGACAAATTTAAATTGTTTGTGACCTTTAGGGGATGTGGTATAAGGTGGGAATGCAAACAAATATAAAATCAAATAGCATGGAAAACCATAAAAGTGCACTTACCTTTCATGTCTATAAACATACAAAAGATCAAGAATGGTTCCACTATGACAAGCATCAACAATAGCATGAAGTGTGACACCTTTCTTGAGTGGCCAAACAATGGTAGAATTTATGTCATTGTCAATGATCATTCCTTCTTTCATAAAATCAACAGGACAAAGTGTCTCATCAAACCCATCAATTTCATCTTCTTTGAAATCTGGTTGTTGCAAACCGTGTCCAGTGAAGTAAAAGACCAACGAGTCTCCTGCTTGACAGTCCTTCACAAGCCACCTTAGGGACTCCAATATGTTGTGTTTCGTTGGTATTAAATTAGCATTCTGCTCTTGTTCTGCAATTCATTTTAGTTTTGAAATGAGATTAATTAATTTGTAGCACCCTGGAGAAGTTGAATATGTTACTGAAAGCAGATATGAGATACTTTTAACAGCTTAGTTGAAGTAGTACAATCATGATGATGAAGATAACAATAATAATTGCATACATATCAACAAAGCTTTCAACATAATAGTTATCTGAATTTTCATACGTAAAAAAGGTCTAAGAAATATTTTAGTCCAAGTGGTCCACCAAATTACTGTATTTTTGAGCTTTCAATTGTATTTCATTAAGCATTCAGACACACAAGATATATGAGTAATAAATAATAAGCCAAAAATCCAAATGATCGAGAAACAGATAATCAATTATAATACTATAAATTTCCTTTTCAAGAGATACCTGTGAGGACTCGTATGCACTCGTTTGGGAATTTGAAATTCTTAATCAGCAGTTCTCTCATGTTACTAATATCATTAATGGTTCCCTTGAGCCTGAATTTCCATCTTCTGTAAGAAACTCCACATAGAACCGCACGTTTATTATGTCTTCGAGTTCTAGGCAAGGCTGAGGAAGAGGGCATTGGAGGATCTAATGACCAACTCAGCAAATTATCTTTTATGTTGGAACTGTCCACATGACCAAGTTTGAACAATTTGGCTCCAATTTTCCTCACTGGACGACATATTCCACAGGCTTCCTTTGATCTCCCATGTCCCAAAGTTGAATTACTAACATTAAGGCACACACAACAGCAGCATGAGTTTGTTTTGGAGGGCAATAGACTGTGACTCTCTTCTTTGCAATCTCTGAAGGTAACTTTTGCTACCCCATTTGACTGAGAGCCACATATCTTTTTGCAAGTATAGCAACCATGCATAGAAGAGGTTGTGGAAGATAAAACACTTTTTTTGTACCTTCCTCTTTTAGATGTATCTTCCATTGTTTTGCAGTCTAATTTTCCCTACAGGCCAATATGCAGGAAGCATCAAGATATATATAATGCAGACTCGTAGACACACACAAACACAGAAATGAACATCAAGGGAAATTCAGACTAGGCTCTCAGCTTTCATGCACTTACCTTGACATTAAGTAATCTTTTCCAATGGTTGAAAATTGTGTAATGTTACATAATTGATAATGAGAAAGTGAGGGGCCCAAAAAAGCGTGTTATTTTTTTTTATTTTTTTATTTCTAAAAAAGAGAGAGACAAATATAGAATCCAATCCATGATGGAAAATTGGGGGGATGCCATTCCAGATGCTTACTTTTAACAAGTCTTTGTTAAGGTTAATCAATTCTCCAACGAAGGAGAACCCCACGCCAGTGAATTTTTAAAAAGAGAATGAGAGAAACTGAAAAATGTGTCAAAAATCAGAAAATGTGCTGTGACTGGCGTATCTCATTTGCGTCCAAGAAAATATTTGGTTCTGATCCTTATTCTCACAATGATAGCAGCAAGAACCAGATGCTCTTAACTTTTATTTCTTAATTAAGTTGCTCAAAGTGGGTGAATTTTCCTCTTTTTTTCACACCAGAAATATTCTATAACAGTCTGGCTTATTCCAACTTGGCTTGATTCACTTGATTCAAGAACACTAAAAGCTCAACAAAGTCGTTTCACTTTCACTATCATTGAGTATGAAAGCTCAGTTATATACATCGGGGTATAAATAGAGAAATCTTTCGGATTACAAATTAATACAAACATTAAAAATGCTGTCTAGCTAAATTATTTTATCTTTTATTAACACACGTTTTGCGTTTACCCAGTACCACCAGAATTTGGTGTGTGCAATTCTGCAAACTTTTAAAGAAGCCAGGGAAATTCTTCATGGGTATCTGATGTCACTTGATAATGGACTATCATTATTAAATAAGTAAGAAGCCAGGGAAATTATTGTGATCAATAGTTAGTCTTTTTCAAGGATTAAGGTCACACAAAAGTGAGTAAAGATGAATTCAAATGATCCAACTGATATAATTATGTTATTATATTACAAGATATATATTTATAATGATTTTTTTATATTAGTAGAGATATAAAAACTTTTACACTCTGTTTAAATCTTTTATTTAACTTACACTTAATGAAATATAATGTAAAATTTTTTTATGTTAGTGTAAATTTAAAAATTTTTACATTCAATTTAAATTTTTTATTTAATTTACATCAAACTCACTTTATTTATTTATTTTTAAAATATGATTTGATATTTAAATTGTAGGCTAACGATAATTGTGGTTCATTCTAATAAAATTCTCTTTTAGAATCCTTTTATTACTATAACAGCTTCTGTATTTATATATATATATATATATATATATATATATATATATATATATGTATATGTATTAAAATTGTAGAAAAGAAATTGTTGAAATTTTAGTAAAAAAATTTGATATTTTATTTATTTAAAATATTTATTTATTTTTGTAAGCGTTTATTTTACAAAGTTAATTAAGTGATATTACGTGATAACTCAACTCATGTACCATTTACGAGTCCATTTCTGAATCATGAGAGTAAATTATAGTGTTATATTTTGACTATTTTGTAAAATTTAAAATAGATATAGTTAACCGATTGACAGAGGTAATTAATAACTCATCGACACCATTGATTTAATCATCATTATATCTAACGGTTTCTGTTTAATGAACCCGTTTCTAGGTGGAACATCGATCTACTATTTTTGACAGATTGGAGACATATCAACGTGAAACGAATATTAAATAAAGTAATCATCAATGTTGCCATGTTCTGACACCAGTGGGACAAATTATTAAAATATATTTTCAATTTTTCTATATATGTCTAAAAAAGTTTACCAAAAAAAAACTTATAATTTTATAAACTTTTTAATTTATTTTAAATATAATTTATTAAAATAAATATTTTTATCTTACTTTGATAAATTTCACAACTAAATTTATAACATGAATCATATATATATATATTAAAATAATGTTTCACTAAATACATTTTTAGATTCACGAAACACTCCAAGAATCACATTTTTCATTTCTAGAGAAGAGGGCTCAGGCGGCACCAAAAAAGTCAAAACAAACGAAGGGGTGTCATTGGAAGCGTCGAGTTTATGCATGCAAGAAGAGGTAGTTGCTATGGCTCCAAAATCGCTCCAGGTGCTTTCTATACCCTATTATTCTGCACTTTCATCTTATAAAGATAAGGTCTTAGAGTCAAACGAGCTGGATCTAGTTTTAAATGATGACAAAATTATTAAAACAGTGTTAGATAATTTGAATATTGCTTCAGATGTTGTGAATGATACTGAAACTAACGATAAAATTCAAGATCTGTGCCCTGAATTAAAAATACCCCTAGCGGATTACGAGGATTGGTGTGCTTATTGAAAATTTACCCTTATTGTTAAGCTGTTAGGAAAATCAATTAGTTTCAATTTTTTAAACCAAAAATTAAGTAATATTTAGGGTAAACATGGATCTCTGAAAATTCTTGATTTAAATAATGATTTTTTTCTCATTAAGTTTGAAAATATAGAAGATTACAAACACGCTCTTTTTGAAGGGCCTTGGTTAATTTTGGATCACTATCTGCTTGTACAGAGATGGCGACCTTGTTTAAAACTAAAAATTATGACTTTAAGAAGATTGCGATTTGGGTAAGAATTCCTGACCTTCCCCTTGAACTTTACAATAACAAATTCTTATGGCAGGTAGGGAATTGTTTGGGATCAATGCTGAAGATTGATCCCCACACCTCTTTAGTAGCCAGAGGAAAATTTGCTAGGATCTATATAGAGATAGACTTAAGGAAAAAGTTGATACCAGCATTTAAGGTTCTTGGTCAAGAATTTCATGTAGAGTATGAAGAGTTACACCTTATCTATTTCCACTGTGGTAAGTATGGACATAGACAAGAGCAATGTAGTGAAAATCTTAATTCTACTAAAACATTTTTAGAGACAGAGCGCCATAAACTTAGTGACACAGGGGAAATTGATAGTCAAATAATTAGTAGTCCTAAAACTGGTAATGATATGATAATACAAGATAATGATAACATATCTGAGAAAGCAAAGGAATAGTTTAGTCCCTGGATGTTGGCAAAGAAATCTTTCAGGAAGAAATTAAATCCTTCCCTTTCTAATGGGTCTTCTATGAATCAAGCTAAGAAAAAAGAGAGTCACCTAGGTTCTAGATTTGAAATTCTTGATAATTTAAATCAGAATGAAAACTTAGGCATGCCCATGACTAAAATGTCTGACTCTATGCATAGGAGTACAAGTTACTCTAAGAACACTGTGAATCACAGGCCAAGCTCTAAACTTTCTAATGGACCCAAGGTTGGTGATTTTGTTAAGAAAACTAATAAAAATAGTTTTGCTCTTAATATTGGCAAAGGGAGTAGTGAGAATGAAAATTCTTGCTCTCAGGATACTGTAGTTATCTCTCAGTCTGATCAAATAAATTTAAAAAATCTTAATAATCATGAAGTGCAGGACACTCTTTTACTAATGAAACACTTTCAGAATATAATAAATAATGACCCAAATTTAGGGCATTCTATCCAAGATCTGGTGGGCTTTAATTATGATTTTTTGGGTAGGAATCAAGGGCTTTTAGAACACAAGCCTACTGATAAACCACCTGATAAGCCTTTGTTGATGGAGCTTGATAATTCAAAAAATAAATATCAGGAGTCTACTGATTCTAGTGTGGTATCTTATGAAAAGGTATGTATAGACCAACATCTTAAAGATGCTAATAATAATAATAATAATAATAATTACTAGTTATATGAATTGTCTTTTTTGGAATTGTAGAGGGACTGGGAGTAAAACCTTCCACAGAATGATGAATGGTCTTATTAAACTTCACAATCTTGATTTTATTGTTATTTTTGAACCTAGAATAAGCTCTGATAAAGTTGATAGGGTTATTAAAAAAATCAATCTATATAGGGAAGTGAGAGTGGATGCTGTGGGGTTCTCTGGGGGTAGTTGGTGCTGCTAGAATACTAGTAGAGTGAAAGTTAAGGTTTTAGAGACAAATAAATATATTTTCCACCTTAATGCTTGTATGGAAAATTGGGATTAGATTTTGTCTGTCCTGTATGCTAGCCCTCATGAAGGGCTGAGAGCTAATTATTGGAATCTTTTGTCTGAAATTTAGTATAAATATTGATAAACCTTGGTGTGTAGCTGGGGATTTTAATTCAATCCTTTATGAAAATGAGAAAGTTGGGGGAAGACTAGCTAATATGAAATTAATCCAACAATTTGCTAACTGTCTTGATACCTGTGGTTTACAAGATTTCAGTTTTAAAAGGAACCTTTTTACTTGGCATAAAGGACAGTTGAAGGAGAGAATTGATAGAGTAGTGGTTAGTGATTCCTGGAGGGTTTTTTTTTCCTAACAGCTCTCTTATTCATTTACCTCTGCTTAAATATGACCATCATCGGTTATGGTTAAGAATTAAAGATGGAACCAGATATGTTCCTACTAATAAATCTTTTAAATTTCTGGCTCCTTGGTTGACACATAGTGATTTTCCTAATCAAGTTAAGAATTCTTAGATTGCCTCTAGAACTTGGACTGAGAATATATCTTCTTTTCAAGAAAACATCTCTGATTGGAACTTAAAAGTGTTTAGTAATATTTTTAACAAGAAAAAGAGAATATTAAATAGAATTAGGGGTATCTCTTGTAAATTAGCAAATAGTGATAATCCTTTCCTTTCAAATCTTATGAATTTCCTATAGAGGGAATATCAAGTAATTATGAATCATGAAGAAACCTATTGGTTTCATCATTATAGGTTTAACTGGCTCAAGTTAGGGAATAGAAATACTAATTTTTTTCATAAATCTGTTTTAACTAGTAGACATAATAACTTGATCGAGGCTCTTAAGGATGACAGGAATAATTGCGTTTATGACCCCTTAAAGCTTAAAGCTCAGGTTGTTGACTATTTTAAAAAGCTTTATTGTGATAAGGAGCCAACAGGTTCCCTTCTTCACACTAAGATTACTTTTCCTGGTCTTAGGGATGATAATCTTGTTCTTTTAAATTATGATATTTCTTGTGCAGAGATTAAAGCGCTTCTTTATTTAGTATAGGAAACTTCAAAGCTCCTGGTCCTGACGAAATTCATGCTTTATGTTTTAAAAATCAATTGGAATTTTTAAGCATTTTTATTTTTAAGTTTGTATCTGATATTTTTAAAAATCCCCACAACATTGTTGTGGTTAATGACACATCTATTACCCTTATCCCCAAAATAGATAACCTTGAATACTCATTTCTTTATGTAATCTGAGCTACAAAATTATAACTAAGTTATTAGCTAATAGAATGAGTACAATTATGCCTACTTTAATTTCAGCTAATCAGACTAGTTTTATAAAAAACAGGCAAGGGACTGACAATATTTTAGTGATTCAGGAATTAGTTCACTCTTTCAGTAGATTAAAAAACAGGAAAGGTTTTATGATTGTCAAGTTGGATCCTGAAAAGGCTTATGATAAACTGAGGTGACATTTCATAAAAGACACAATTCAACAAATTGGCCTTAACAATGAGTTATCTGAGCTAATTTATCAGTGCATAACATCTACCTCTATGACCATTAACTGGAATAATAGCAGAACTGAGGAATTTCAACCTTCTAGAGGCATTAGACAGGGAGATCCTATATCTCCTTATATTTTTGTTCTCTGCCTAAAGAGATTAGGTCACTTAATTCAGGACCATATTATTGCTGGCAATTGGATCCCTTTCTCTTTTATTAATCGGGGTCCTAAGGTGTCCTATCTATTTTTTGCTGATGACATAGTTTTAGTGGCTAAAGTTGATAAAACTAATGCTGAAATTATTAGGAATATTCTTAATACTTTCTCTGCTGCATCTGGATTAACGGTCAATCAGGCGAAATCTTCTATTCTCTTTTTTAATAATAGTGACCCTGTCCTAGTTTGGGATATTTGCTCTTGCCTAGGTTTTAATCAGGCCCATAAGTTTGGAAATTATTTAGGCATACCCATTAGCCATCTTAGTCCAACTAGGCAGGATTTCTCTTTTATAGTGGATAAGGTCAAGAAAAAGCTTTTTTTATGGAAGCTAAAATCCTTATCTATGGCTAGTCGGGTCCTTTTAGCCCAGTCTTGTATTAGAAGTATTCTGACCTACTTTATGCAGTCCATAATGATGCCTAAATTTGTTTGTAATGAAATTGATACTATATGTAAGAAGTTTATTTAAGGTTCCTTAGGTAATAAAAAACCTCACCTAATTAGATGGAATAAAGTTTGCCAACCTAAGGATAAAAGGGGCCCTTAGATTTAGGAATATCAATATGGTCAATCAAGCTTTCTTTATGAAGTTGTGGTGGAGACTCCTTACATCTCCTAATGAGTTATGGGCTCAGGTTTTATGTAAGAAATATAATTTTGCCATTGATAAATCCTCTCTCTCTAAACCTATCCACAATCAGTCTCATGTTTGGAAAGGTTTGTTGTCTATTTGGAACTCCTTTTATGGTGGTTTAGGTTGGATCCTTGGAGATGGTCAAACTATTAGGTTTTGGGAGGATAGTTAGATTCCAAATCTCCAAAATCTTTCCACTTATATCACTCAGCCTATCCCTGAGTATTATAAGAATGTGCCTGTTGTTCTAAATGTCTATCGATTGGTCTAGAATTAGATCTCTGCTGCCTGCCAATATCTGTGATATTATCTCCCAAATCCCCTGCTGGTTGTAGGGGTTAGGATCTTTTCTTTTGGAAAAATTCTAGTAATGACATCTTTACCATCAAGTCAGCTTATAATTTCATTTCTAACCTTGAAAACAGTGAGCATATCAATAACAAAGTGTTTAAAAGAATATGGAAATGGGGAAGGCCTCCCAAAGTCTCTATTTTTCTTTGGAAACTTGCTCATGATAGATTATTAACCAATGTGGAAAGATGCAAAAAAGGAATGACTCAGTCTACTGAATGCTTTACGTGTAGTGAGGATGCAGAATATGTCATCCATATTCTTAGGGATTGCTAGTTTGCCCAAAAGATTTAGAATTCTTTTATTTTTCTTGAAAATTGGGCTCTTTTCTTTAGCCTAGGTTTGCATGGTTGGCTAGATTATAATTTAGATACCCAGAAATATAATAATTATCCTCACTACGATGTGTTGTTTGGGATAACTCTTTAGAGTTTGTGGAGAAATAGGAACCAAGCTATTTTTCAGAACCAACATTCCTCCACTGAAAGCTTATTACATAACATATTTCATGAGTTTGATTCCTTTCTTTTTTGTGGCAAGTTTAATCAGGATGTCGCTGTGATGGATTTCCAAAGTTAGATAAAGTGGCATGCCCCTATCCAGTCTCAGCTAAAGCTTAATGTGGATGGAGCTTCATCTCCTATCTCTGACCAGGCTGGTTGCGGAGGCCTTATTCGGGATTGTAAAGGAAGATTCTTAGTTGGGTTTTGTAAGGCCCTTGTTTTTTGTCCTCCTATTGCTGCTGAGCTATGGGGAGTGTATTGGGGGCTCAAGTTGATAGTGCAGAAAAATATTCAATTGATTTAGATTGAATGTGATTCTATTGAGACCATATCCCTTATTATTGTTAATTACCCTAGTTGTAATCATCCTTTATTTCCTTTAATTAGTGAGATTCAGAAATTGTTAAAATACATTCGTTTTATTAACCATGTTTTTAGATAAGCCAATCATTGTGTTGATTGGTTAGCTAAGGATAGGGCTGATGGCAGGATGCCTTCTTATTTTTCAAATTCTGCCCCTTTAGATTTACTTCCTCTGTTATCTCTAGATGCTAAAGGTTCTTGGTACCCTAGAGGTACTACCTAGGTTCTTGTTGTTGTTTGGGTTTTGAGCCCTATTTATTAGCCAAAAAAATAATGCTTTACTAAATTATATATCTAAACGCAGTGTAAGAGCCAATGAGAATCAATTGAATTTTAGCTAGATTTATCTTCACCTCATTCACACATGTTAATGTTTAAAGCATGCTTATGACCATAAGAAATTTTGTAACCCAAATAATTAATTCAACTCATCTTATATTTTTTTTAATTATATATCAAATTTTATATAATTTATAAGTTTATAAATATATTTTAATTTTAATATTTATTTATATTTTAAAAATACGTCATTTATTAAAATAAAGTAATATAGCAAAGCATTTAATAATTTATTTTTTTATAAAATTAATTTATTTGCTAAAAATATTTAAATTAACGATTAAATCAATAAATTTATAAAATTATCAAATAATATAAATATTTAATATATATATATATATATATTAAAGATTAATATAATTAAGTAGATAATTAAGTGTTTTAAGAATATTTATTTTATAGATATATTTATATCGAGAATATTTTTATCTTAAAAAAATTTAACAGTTAATTAAAAATATTTTTAATATATATTAAAATATATAATTATATAAACCGAAATGAGCTGTCCACTTTCCCTACATCAGACTGTGTAAGTTGAATAAAAAAATTAATCTCTAAAAGAATAAACCATATTCAGGGATTTTTTACGTAAATAAATTTTAAAAAAAAATTACGCATGTGTGGTGGAAATATTTTATTAAGGTGAATGTTTTGAATTTGTTACTGAAACAACTTTTTGCACAAAATGAAAACTATTTGAATTCACTTGTAATACTGTTTTATTATTGTTAAAGTCGAAGTTAATTTTACTTTTTTTTTAATTAGTTTCAAAGAAATTAACTTACATGATAAACAAATAAATTAATTAGAATCGACTTTAGTACATTTTAAAAACAAATTTAATTAACTTTTTTAATTATTTATCTTTATCATATAACAAAAAAACGTAGAAAATGAGAGAGAGAAAAATGGAGATCGAAAACGATTGAACCTAAAGAAAATAAATAATAATTTTTGGTTAATTAATTTAATTTTTAAATACATCTAATTAAATTATATTTTATTATTTTTGTATTTAATTAGACAGACTAGTTTTTAGCATCGGAAGATGGTCTGTTATAATAATACAAGATAATGGATATACAACACAAACCAATAATTTATGCAGCAAATCGAAGCCATGAACAGTGAAATGGAAGTACCAAGGCCGCACGTCGTGTGTGTTCCTCTACCAGCACAAGGCCACATGAACCCAATGTTAAAACTAGCAAAACTCCTTCATCTCAGTGGCTCCTACATCACTTTCGTCCACACACAATTCAACTTCGATCGCTTGGTCAAATCTAGAGGCCAAAACACTCTTAAGGGCCTTCCAGATTTTCGGTTTGAGACCATATCTGATGGATTGCCTCCGACAAACCAACGAGGAATATTGGACCTGCCAGAATTATGCAGAACAATGCCTGTTGAAGGATTGTGTTCATTCAGAGACCTCGTAGCAAGGCTTGTTTCTTCAGCAGATGTTCCCCCTGTTACTTGCATCGTTTCTGATGGTGTCATGGGCTTTACTTTGAAAGTTGCCCAAGAATTCAACATTCCTGAGTTCATGCTTTTCACCCCTAGTGGATGTGGAATGATGGGGTATCTTACCTTTGAAGAGCTTGAGAAAAGAGGTTATTTTCCACTGAAAGGTAGTGTCTTTATCTAAACATTGAAACACTTGCAATGTTAAAAGTTAAAACTTACTGTTTTTATCTGGTTAGTTCTATGGGAATTACGCTTATAGCTAGAAGTATATATTATACATTCTTGCAAAGGAAAGATTCTGAGATCTTGAGATGGGTATAGTGATCAGATATTCCAATAGGTATGTAGCATATTTTAATTTATTTTATAAAATTAAGTATATTATCTTTGTTAATGTTTTGTTTATGTATACATTACTAACGCGTTTCTTATAAAAGATAATTAAAAATATATTAGCAGTAGATAATAAGACATGAGTTAGGGTAATCAGGAGTAAATAATTTTTTTCGCTTTACTTATACAAATAGAAATATTTTATTTACAATATGTTATCATGCCATTTTGAAAAAATCCGTTTTTTTTTATTTTTAGATGAGAAGAATTTGTGGGATGGATATCTTGAAACTGAAGTTGACTGGATACCAGCAATGAGAGGGGTAAGACTGAAAGACCTTCCCACCTTCTTTAGGACTACTAATCCTTCTGATACAATGTTCCATTACAACAAAGAGTCAGTGAACAATGCTGTGAAAGCCAGAGGGGTCATCCTTAATACCTTTGAAGATTTAGAAGCAGAGGTTTTGGAAGCAATTAGAGACAAATACCCTCAACTTTACCCCATTGGTCCATTGCAAATGCTCTTTAAACAGTTTTCAAATTCAAGTAATCAATTGTTGTCCATTGATTTAAATTTGTGGAATGAAGATGCTAAGTGCATGGAATGGCTAGACAAAAGAGACAAAGCATCTGTTGTTTATGTGAATTTTGGGAGCTTAGTAATTATGACTTCTAAGCAATTGAGAGAGTTTGCTTGGGGATTGGCTAATAGCAAGTACCATTTTCTGTGGGCAATTAGGCCCAATCTTGTGGAGTGTGGAGGTGAGGTCATATCAAATGAAGAATTTGTGGCCGAAATTGACCAGAGGGGCTTGATATTGAAATGGTGTTCACAAGAGAAAGTTCTAGGCCATCCATCAATTGGAGGCTTTTTAACACATTGTGGGTGGAACTCCACGTTGGAAAGCATTTGTGAGGGAGTGCCAATGGCGTGTTGGCCTTTCTTTGCTGAGCAACAAACCAATTGCTTTTATGCTTGCAACAAATGGGGGGTGGGAATGGAAATTGAGAGTTGTGTTAACAGAGAACAAGTTGAAAGGCTTCTGAGGGAACTGATGGAAGGGCAGAAAGGGAAAGAAATGAGGAACAAGGCTGTGGAGTGGAAGCAAAAGGCTGAGGCAGCAACATCACTTGGTGGTTCTTCTTACAACAACTACAACAGTTTGGTTTTACATTTGAAAGAGGCCAATAAAACATCCAACCACAAATGATGAGTTAGATGCAGAGTTACAATGGATGTTTCATATTCAATTAAAAAATAATGGCTTAAATTTACTCGCAAGTAATTAATTTGACTTTTCATTAACTTTTAAAAGATAAAATAATATTGATTTATATGTATTCTCATTTTCAAGTAATTATATGTATCATTCTTTTTGTATACAAGGGAGGAGATATTAGTTAGTTTATGATGTAAAGATGAATTAAAAACTATACATACTTTGAAATTCTAGCAAAGGTACGTGTTACAAATACAACAACTAAATATTTAATAGTATATAATCTTATCCTCATAAAATTGAGATATTATTTTGTTTTAAAATATTTTAAATAATAACAGTGTCAAATGTTATCTTTAAACTAAGTCAAATGTTATGTTTAAGGAGAGGAGAAAGAAAAAATGATAAGAGTTTAACTTTATTTGTAAATTAATTAATTAAAAATAAAAGAGTTAAGAGATTTTTGTAATTTCTTAAAATTCTCTTAAATTTAATCTTTTAAATTATTTTAATTTATAATCTCGTGCTATTTCACAATTAAATTTTTTAATATATTAGTTTTTAAAATAATTTTTTTAAATTATAAAAAATAAAAATTTCAATTTTAATAATATTAATTTTTAAAAAATGATTTTTTATATTTAAAATATATATATATATATATAATACAATTACATCATTTATAATTAAAGTCTTCATCAGTCTTTCTTTTCAATATTAAATATTTAAACAAAAAAATTTATTTATTTTTTCTTCTTCCTTTCTCTTCTCTTTTAAATATTCAAATAAAATTTATTTTAATGTTATTTATGATCTTCATGAGATTGATATAGATTAGAAATAGACTCAGTGTTATTTTATTTTTCATTTTGAAATCGAGACCAGGAATAAGAACTACTAAAAAAATGAGACCGTGTGATCGATGTAATTGATAGTTATCATGTGTATACTTTAATATTCTTTTCATTCGAAGCAAAATACTCTATTCTTTAAAACGAAATTTCCAAATTCCAAGGATCCATTTGGTGATATAATTTATTTTTTCTACTCAATTCTTTGCAGCACATGTAATGTTAGTACTTCACATCTAAGTTTTGGTTGGTTAGATGTTTGAGTAACGTTATCCACATGATTTTTTAAATATATTATTAGAATGTTTATGCAATTAATTGTTTTTAAAATGTCAAAGAAATGTTTAAAAATAAATTAATTATAGAGAATTGGTTGAAAAATGTTTAAAATTTGTTGTTAGTATATCTTAAAATATTCTAAAATAACTTATTTTTAAGTTTAAATAAAAATAATTTTAAATTATTAAAAATAAGATTTGAATAGGTTTTTGATTATCTCTCATTTTAATAAATTTTTTGTTTTAGTCAATTTAAACAATTTTTTTAATCTTTAATGCTGATGGGGTCGAACTAAAATTGAAAATATGATAATATCTCAATGGAATAAATTAAGCATTAAGGACTAGAATAAAAAATAAATTTTTTGAAGAGATTAAAATAAAAAATTATTAAAATATGAGAATTAAAAACACGTTTAAGCTTAAAAATAATATTGTATATATATTGTATATTTTTATTAAATTTATATATTGAAAAGTGTAAAAAATAAATTTATAACATTAAAAAAATAGACAATGGTAATTTCAACTGGCTTATATATATCGAAATCCATTTTCATATGGAAGATGTTTATACTTCATAGAAAAACTATCTGCGAAACACGTTTACAATTACAAACCTTTAAATTAATGGTTCATTGACTATACCCTTACTTAAACCAGCAAATTAAACAAAATGATCTTTCTTGTACTTTATAATCAAATGTTCAATCCCATTGCATTTCTTTATTCCAGGTACGTTTTCTAGCATCGTGCTTCCTACCTCAGGCAAGCTGAATCACAAAGATATGAGGGTTTACAAATAGATGAAATATTAAGTTTAAATGTTCATAATAATGTCTCATGTCACACGTTCTTGCAATGAAAACATGCTTTGAAATTTGATTCTCTAAAATAATTGAAGTAAGACCACTCCACCACGCTACCTATGTTTGATTAATATATATATACAAAATCAAACAGGATATTGATAGCCAGTGATTATGAATTTTCTTGTTGATCCACCTGTTACAATATAATGCCAGTTATTACAGCAATTGAACATGGAGTTTGTGAGCACAATTGAAGAGGAAGCAATGATAATGTCCAAGAGTACTAAGAGGGATGAAGAGGGCATATTCTTGACATGGGAGGATTTGCAAGTAAATGTTCCAAATGGAAGAAAGGGTAGGAAACCAATTCTTGAGGGTGTGACAGGTTATGCTAAGCCAGGGCAGCTCTTAGCAATCATGGGACCTTCTGGCTGTGGCAAGTCCACACTTCTTGATGCTTTAGCAGGTAAATGCATTTTCAAATTTTCTTCTATTTTTCCCTGTATTTTCCAAATTCGATCTTCATATTCTCATTGCCATTACATTAATTATTGTCAGAAACTACATCAAATACACTTCCAATTTAACGAGTCTAATTCCTAATTTTATAATATTTAATAAATCTTAACCATAAAAAAAGTGTTTAACGAATAGTATGTTAGAAATTATATTATTAGCTTTTTTCATCAATAAAATTAGGAGAGTTCATTTTCAAAGTTTAAATGAATAATTAATATTTACTGTTTTTATCCAATTCGAATATTGGTATATAATTTTTTTTAACGTTACTCTACCTAGTTTCACCTATTTAAATTTAATTTTTCAATAACCAATATTTAATAATCTGAAACTAAAAGAACTAACACCTTATTAAGTGAAAATTATGAAAATTAAATAAAGAAAGAACATAGGGACAGACAGTTTAATGATTTGGGCCAAAATCTAAAATTAAAAATATTGAGACAGATATACAAAAAATGAAAAAAAAAAATTTAAAGGCTGATTTTAAACAACTAAAAGTGACAAATTTTTATTAAAAAAATATTTATTATATTAAAAGTATAAAATTATAATAAAAATATGAATTGACTATTTTTATTTAAAATTAATTCTAAAGATTGGCATTAACAAAATAAAAGTATGGTCTAATTGTTTAGCTTAATCTTTTGGAAATATTCTGCAGGAAGACTGGGTTCAAGCACAAAGCAAACAGGAAAAATTCTAATCAATGGCCATAGGCAAGCACTGGCTTATGGAACTTCTGTAAGTAAAATTCTATAAAGATGTTGTTCAAAGAAGAACAAAGAACATAAATATAGACATCTTTGGTAAGAATAATGTTTGTCCTACAAAGAAGAGAGGGATAGAAATAAAAATAAGTAAAATTTAAAACAAAATAAATAATATGATGGGATAAAAAAAATAAGATAGAAGAGGTATCACACAAGTATATGAATATAGTTATTGTTCTAGTAACTGCCAGCAGTAATTTTTCTAAGAAAATTATATTTTTTTTCTTAAATTTTGGTTACAAAAGGAAATTAAATCTTATTAATCCTTTCTCTCACCACTTGAAATTAGGCATACGTAACACATGATGATGCTGTATTATCAACATTAACAGTTGGAGAAGCAGTGTACTACTCAGCTCATCTCCAATTTGCAGGGTCAATATCCAACAGAGAGAAGAAAGAGAGAGCAGAATCTACAATCAGACAAATGGGTTTACAAGATGCCATTAACACAAGGATCCAAAGGTGGGGTTCTAAAGGCCTCAGTGAAGGGCAAAAGCGGAGACTAGCCATTTGCATTGAGATTCTTACAAGCCCCAAACTTCTTCTTCTTGATGAACCAACTAGTGGTTTGGACAGTGCTGCTTCCTACTACGTCATGACCAGAATTGCAAGTCTAAAGATTAGAGATGGCATCAAAAGGACAATTGTTGCATCTATCCATCAACCTAACAGCCAAGTCTTTGAACTATTTGATAGTCTCTGTCTCCTGTCTTCAGGTGAAACAGTATATTTTGGCCCTACTTCTGCTGCAACTGAGGTTAGTAGCTAACTAGCCCTGTTAGAAATGCTGGAACAATCATTGCATTTTTATTTACCAGTGAGAAGAAATTAAATAAACTAAGGAATTTAATCATTTTAGTAGTATTGATGGTAAAATTTATTAATTTATTTTTATTAATATTTTTTAACTCTTTAATTTTATAAATATTTTATTAGAATATTCAAATAGTATAAATATATTATATAAACGAAGAGGTATTGATAAAAAAAAAGTAGCTTATGTTGTTTTGAAGTACTATATAAACAAATAGATAGAAATAAGTTTTTTCTTCCCCCTCTCAACAGATAAAAAGGAACAGAGATACTATCACTTTAGTGACATTCTTTAATACACTGTCTATGATTGCTTCGTTTTTTTTTTAAATCTAAAAAAAATTATCTAATAAAACGATCATTTTTAAAAATACTTCAACTTATTAAAAAATTAACCAATCATAATAAGCATAAGCTGATTTGAAATAATAATGTCTTTTTTATTTAATGTAGTATTTTGCTTCAAAGGGCTTCCCTTGTCCACCTCTCCATAACCCTTCTGATCATTTCCTGAGGATCATAAACAAGGATTTCAAACTGGTGAGAAATAAAATTTTCAATGCTTAAAGAGTTATCACTTTTGTCGCAACATAACACAGTTGATTTGTCTTTATAATTTCCAGGATGATGAAGAATGCTTCCTTGCAATAGTACCCAAAGAAGAAGCAGTTGATATCCTGACAAAGTTTTATAAATCTTCTGAAATTAGCAACCAAGTTAAAAAAGAAGTAGCAGCAATAGGTGAAAGGGTAAGTGTAGCATCATTGTTGCAATACATTACTTGTAAAACACAAGTAATCAAGATAAGTAAGGGACTATTATCTTTACCTATAACATTGATAAAGGACAAATTTTTTTATGCATTTAGGAATATAATTTTGTGGAGGGAAACAAAACACGGGCTGCATTTTTTTATCAGTGCCACATTCTCATGAGAAGATCTTCAAAGCACCTGTTTCGTGATGTAAGCAATTATTGGTTACGTCTAGCTATGTTTGTTCTAGCAGCTATTAGTCTGGGCACTATTTTCTACGACGTTGGTTCAAGTAATGCATCTATTCAGGTAAAGTGGATAATTAAATTGTGGCAGAGTATGACATTTGAAGCATAACATAAAAAGAATAAGTATCTTTATGCATAATGATTCACAGGCTAGAGGAGCACTGGTGTCTTTTGTTGCTTCCGTCCTCACTTTCATAACCCTTCTCGGTGGATTCCCTCCATTTGTGGAACAAATGAAGGTATTAATTCCAAGCACTCTCACTTTGTTTGATACTTTCTTCGCTTAATTATGTCAGTTATTGCACCTTTTGCTACATCGTCTTATTAAGATGGAGTGAGTGGAAATTGGGGATAGAAAATGCATAGTCAACTTTATTGAAATACATAAATAAGTTAAAAATATATTTTTAATCGTTACATCGTGTGTTTAAATACATTTATTCATGTTCAAAATAGCTTGTAATTAAGGGTATGATTCCTCAACATACTTGTGAGTATGCAACTTTGTTTATAATTTTATATTAGCCCAAGGATATTCTAGTATACACAAAAAAAAATATTTACTTTTTTTTCTGTGCACGGGTGTGACTGATTCAGGTATTTCAACGTGAGAGATTGAATGGGCATTATGGCGTTGCTGCTTTTGTCATTAGCCACACATTATCTCCTATTCCATATATGATACTAATGTCACTGATTCCCGGAGTGATTGCCTATTACCTTTCTGGACTTCACAAAGGACTTGAACGTTGCCTATACTTTTCCTCTGTGCTATTTGCTTGTATATTGTGGGTTGAAAGCCTCATGATGGTTGTTGCAAGTATCTTCCCCAATCCCAACACAGGAATCACAGTCTGTGGTGGGATTGTGGGAGTCATGATTTTAACTGGTGGATTCTTTCGCCTTCCAAATGACCTTCCCAAACCATTTTGGAAATACCCAATGTACTATGTTTCCTTCCACAAGTATGCCTTCCAAGGACTATTCAAGAATGAGTTCATTGGTTTAAAGTTGGCTAGTGATCATGATGGAGGCACCAACATTAGTGATAAAGAAATACTAAGAAAGATATGGCAAGTGGAATTGGGTTACTCAAAGTGGCTCGATTTTGCTATCTTAATGGGAATAATTGCTTTGTATAGACTTATGTTCTTGGCAATCACTAAGAGCAAGGAGAAGATGAAAAAGGCTTGAAGCCCAATGGTTAATTAGTTGCCCAAAACTTAGGGAAATAAATATATTTTACACTTAATTTCTCCCCACACAAGGACAGCAGTATTATATCTTAGAATTGTATTAAGTGGCATCAGCACTAGGAAACTTCCACGAGTATTAAATCACACTGATCAATGAAGTGGGTTAAGATGCAATCTATGTAAGTGATCACAAAATAACTGTCTAGTCAAGCTAAAAGTACTCAAAAATATAAATAAAATCTTCCAAGGTCATATGTTAAGAAATAAAAAATTAGTAATATTTTATTAAAAATATAACTTTTAATATTAATAATGCAATCAATTTTATATTTATTATTTTTAATAAAAAAATTATCATATATAAGTTTTTATTATGTATCCTTGACACACCTTAAAAAATTAATATATATAAAAATTAAAACAAATGATTGGGCATGCTACAACCATCCTTGGTGCGTGCAAGATCAATTTGTCCATTTAAATTAGAAATTCAAACAAACTACGTAATCTTGGAGCAACCAATTAAGTAAATCTAATCATTTTCTTCTTTCTTTTTTCTCATACTCCTCTCCTAGTTATTTGAACATATTACACGTGACTCGAAATAAAGAATTAAGAAAATGAATTTCGAAAATTGAACTGAAACTAAGTACTGTCTTTTTGCAACATTAGCCAGACACTGAACTACCCAACTCTTGCCAGATAATTAAAATTTTGCTGGATAAGAAGCTGAGCCCCTCCAACTACCCTCTTTATGACTTCAGAAGCAGGTAGAATTTCCTTGATGAGACCAACACCTTGGCCAGCATACATAACCATGCTCTCATAATCCCCTGTTGTAGTCATGTTTGGGACAGTACCAGCAAAACGTCTAATCTCCCTTTCCTGTTGTAGTTATGTTTGAGATTCAATTCACCCACAACAAATGAAATGAAATACTATTTTGTTGTACACAAACATTTTCTTACCAAGCCATGAATTTTTGAATGGCCAATAACAGGCTTGCTGGCTTCATTTTCATGGGCCGGAAGGGATCTCCAATCTTTGTAGAATGGTGTCTCAAGGACGCGATGAGGTGCATTAGGCCATCTTGCCCTGCCAAAGATATCAGTGTATGCAGTTTCACTGAATTCAACTATCTTCCTCTTGTATATAGGATGAGCATAGCTTTCCTCAGTTGCCAGAAATCTGCAAACAAGACTTGGATTGAAGACATCAAAATGTATAAAGGGGGTTGAAAGAAAACCAACTTAAAATGAGACTATCAAGTAAGATAGAGTAACAAGGACTGAGGAGAATTATTGAGGGGAAAATTTTTTCAGAACACAAAAAATATGACTTTGTTATTGGATAAACTATATGCTTTATTAGTATGAAGCTATATAGAGGCAACAAAAGTGCGTGGTTAAATATTTCGAACCTAGTGCCTAGACAAACGCCTTGAGCACCAAGTGCCAGAGCAGCAACATAACCTCGTGCATCAACAATTCCTCCAGCAGCAATCACTGGTATGTCTCGGTCACCAACAAGATCAACCACCCTTGGCACCAATGAAATTAAACCTTCCTGCAATTAATCCAGAAGAGGCAATAATATATTTAACCATTAAAATTCGAAAGGTACTAGTATGGTACCAAAGATCAATAAAGCAATGACAGATTTTAAAGGCAACAAAAATATGGAATAATTTCCTTCAAAGGATGAGAACATTGCATATATAAAGTAACCAAATAAGAACGAGAGGCAATAAACACTGACAAGACCGAACGAAAATTGCCATTGTACTAGACTCATCATTACAGAACACGATAAATTTTCAAGATACAAATACTTAAAAAATAGACACACTTCAGAATGGTGACAAGGATCCACACGTACCTGACCAAGGACATGGCCACCAGCTTCAATTCCTTGCACAATTATTCCATCAACACCGGCATCAATTGCCTGTTTTGCGCCTTCAAAAGTCCCAACCTACCCTTGAAATACAAGTGAGTGAGTAACAACTCAGATAGTAAAATGTAGATAACCATAAAATGCAACAGAAAACCACATGAAGCTACGAACATGCCCCATTAAAAGTGCAATCCATTCCCAATCTATCACATCACATACGTTACCCCACAGATCATATTCTTCTGTCTAGAAAGTCACCTAATAAGAAACAAGGATCACGGGTTCAAAACTCAGTAAAGCTAGACTTTTGATCCGAAGCAAGCAAGGGTAACAAATTTTGCAACAGATGAACCACTCAATTTCTTAAAGGAAGAACCTGACATTCAAGTTAAGCAATCAAATTTTAAGGTAAAATGGGCTAAACATAAAGAAGAATATATTGATTGTCGCTAGGATTTGCTTGCAGCCTTGCAGTTGACCAAACCGTGATTGATTCAAAGACAAATTTTATGTGCAATTACCTGTCCCTTTCCATGTTAATCGAATTAAAAAAAAATGACATATATCAGAAGTCAACTGGTTTATATATACAGATCCACTATTTGAACATCAAATAATTTTTTATACATAATTTTTCTCATCCGAATCAAAAAGAAAAGAAAATAACAAAAAAATGTAAATGGGCCTATGGCCATAGCATATATGGGCGTAAAACAGAGACACACCTGAGGAACAACCTTAACCCCAGAAGAATGAGCCCGAGCGACCAATTCCCTGGAACAATCACCCCAGGAAACTTGCAAGACTGCGACTTTCTCCTCTAGAATGGCCTTAACGTTGTCCTCGTGAGGAAAAATTTGAACCACGCCAACACCAAATGGTTTGTCCGTTAAGGTCCTAGTCTTCTGTATGAGCCCCCTCACGTAATCAGGGGATTCCTGATGGAAGGAACACAATCAATAAGATTAAATAATGGAGTTATATGATTGATCCTATATTACTACTAAAACAAATACACAGTACCCAATCAGGGGCTTTGAGTATTCCTAAACAACCAGAGTTGGCAACAGCAGCAACAAGGTCGGGGCCAGAGATATCAGGGCCCAAAGGCCCCTGAACTACCCCACATTCAAAACCCAGTATTCCTCTCCAACCCATGGATGAACCTTCACACTGAACAAAGTCAAAGACTCAAAGTGCTGCTGTTTCATTTCTCGCACATTATTTTCTTTTTCTAGTTATAATGGTTTTAGCCATTGTCCACGCAAGCGATCACGTCGTAATTCACAATTTCCGATTATTGTGTTGACGTAGAGAAGCATAAACCAAAGCAAACACAACGAGCAAGTACAAACCAAATCAAACACGCCGATGTGCAGGAAGTATTTTCAAATGAATATAACTTGAATGCATTATTCTAAGTATTTTTTATGTTATATTTATATTATTATTTAAGTCCTTTTTTTATTTTAATTAGAAAATAATATCAAAATTATCTAAAATACTGTATTTATTTTTTTCTTTTGAATTAATTTGATTTAAAGCTAAACAAAACTAATGTTAAGCTATTAAATATCATTCAAATGAATCACATCTTTTATTAACCTATGTGTTTTTCTTTGAAAATTACAAGAATTTATTTTATAACTTAAAAATAATAAGCAGTTTTTATTTGACTAACGTTACCAGCATATTGGACCTAAAATTTTTGAACTAAAATTATTGTGAAAGAAATGGAACTCATCATACAAGAAATGAACTCAAATTTGCTCACCAAACTTAATTAATAATGTATTATAGTGTTTAATCTCATGTTCTATCACATCTTATAGAGTTTCACTTAAATTCCATCACATAATAAATAATGTATTATTATTTTAGTTTAAATATGTTTTTATTTTTTTAGTTTTATAAGATTTTGATCCTTAATTTTTTGAATAAATATTTTTAAAATTTCTAGTAACTATCAAAGGAAGATGTGATTAATCGGGAGACTGACATGCCTCATTTGTGGGTCACTTACAATTTTTTGTTAGGTTATATCAGTAAAATGGAATGAAACTAATTACTTTTAAAATATAAGGACTAAAATTAAAAAAAAAATATAAAACAAATTAAAATTTTACAAAATTATAAGAACTAAAATATATTTAAAATTAATTTTTCCTCTTATATACATATGTTTATAATAACTAAAAGGTGGAAATTTAATACAGTTATAATGAAAAATAATCACTAGTGTTAAATTATTATTTTTCTTTTTATATACTTCTTTTTATTATAACTAAAAGGTGGAAAATTGATACAGCTATAATAAAAATAATCACTACTGCCTGTTGTGTCTTGTAAATCACTAAATCATACATAAAATACTTCAACTGTTGATTGACCTTTTAAAAATTAGTTTTGAGGTGTCCAATGAAAAAACAAATAAGCACTAAATTAATGAATCTTTCAATTAATCAAAATAGGTCCTTTTTTAATTTTAAAAAAAAGTATTTTTTATCTCTAACATAACCAAATCATATTATTTAATAACATGAGAGTTTAAATTCGTTAACTTATATTACTTTAGTTCTAATACTTTTTATTCATACAAAATTACTTAAATGAAATTGTATATAATAATTTAACAATAAATTAATAGTATAAATTTGTTAATATACTAACACTATTGAAGGCCGATTTGTATGGCACAAATGTATTTTTTTCAAGGACTAAAGCAACACAAGGATTTTTAGAAATAAAATTGTATATTAACTTCTTCATATGTATATTATTCGTTTTTTCATCATAGTTCTTGGTCAAAGAACATGTTATACCCATTCAAAACTCTGGGCCATAGCCTCCCTCTTTGGGCCGGGCAGCAAGGTGGGCTTAAAATTGTCATTTGAAATTTAGATCACACGTTAATAATTGTTCTGAGTTGTTTCAGTTCAGCACAATCAAAAGTTACAATGCTGAATGTTGGGTAGTGTGGGCTGTGTTTAATTGTTGAATGCAAGAGGACTCAAATCATTAAAAAAATAGAGAGAAAGGATAGTGATTCTTCTCTTTAATTTATTATCCTATACATGCACTATATTGTCACAATTTGCTGACATCATGGATGTTGTTTTTTATTTAAGAAAATAATAACTTACAAGTATTATGGCTATCTAGCTAGCTGTATTTCTAAAATAAGATAATTAATAAAAGGGGCTATAACACTCTGAAAGATTTGTTTCATTATGATTCCGGTAGGAATTGTTGGTTAATTAAAGACAAAAAGAAGTCACATTACACAAATTAAAGTTAATATAATGAGACATTTATTTTAATAAGCAAACATTTATAATAAAAGTAAATTTGAATTTATTACACAAAAACAGGTTCAAAATGTTAATGATGAGAATTTGCACTTGTAATTTGAACTTCCAACCAATTCATTTCTAATGAAAACTAAACATAAAATCCTAAACTAAACCTTAGTGCTCGATCATTGGAATACCAAGTTAAAAGAGCAAACCATGCCAATTATAATATGACACGCATGAAAGTGATGAAACACGTTAGGAAGCAGCCGAAAGAGGGAAGGGAAAATGAAGGCAGAAAGTGAGAGCAGTTTCCCATCGTATGTTATTAAAAGCAAACGAAGCAACAACGAATTATTCATTATTCTTCTATGTCTAAACCTTTTATTTAATTAACATTTAACACTATTAAAATAATAAATTATAACATATTAAATATAATTAAATGTAAACATTTTTAAACGTATAAACAGATTTTATCTCTTTCTAATACTCAAATAACTATGCTCCAATCTTCACCCCACCCGTGCATTAGCATTTAGCAATATAATACTTGCTTGCATTAATTAGGTTTGGTGAGCCAACAAGTGACTTAATCTTATTTTCATCATAATTTATAATTAAATGATAACATAAAAATATTAATATTATCATTATAGTTTAATTAAATTTTAAATTTAACATCCAAATTCAATCATTTTACTTTAGAAGAACTATATGTCGTCATCACGTTAATAATTCAGATATTGATTGATAGAGCAACAAACTTTCAAGAATCAAATCAATAAAGATACTAATATTAGAGATGAAATTATATGCTTATTATTTTTAAATTTTTGTCACGTATTCTTAAACATACGTTTTAAAAAAATATTTTAAAAATACAACTAGGATGTTCAATCACAGCTCTCTGTAGCATTAATGTTATTTTATTATTTTACACAAACATCAGCTGACATGAAGTATTCAACTGAGATCTCATATTGAAGCCTGCGTTGATTTTATTCCTGCATTGTGTTCGCCTCCGGAGACTCATAAGAAAAAGTCTATAGCTTATTTCTTTTTTAATGACAAAATGTGGCCCCGAAGGGTGTTTGGCCTCTTTTAAAGACTTTGATTTTTAATCGACCAAAAACAGAGAAAATTAAAGACTATGAATTTAAATTTTTAATCCTTTTCCAATTGATCGTGGAAAGAAGAAGAATCCAAAATCAAAGTCAAATGGGTCCTAAATAATTGGTTTTAGTTTGAACCTATCCACATCTACTTCTAATGTTCAAATTCATTTTTGTAATGGCATGCAAGCTGTTTCCTTGAAAGAACCCATTGCCTTGCGCATGGTCTTCAAAATCACAAACTTGGAGATATTTTAGCTTGATTTAGACTAAACTAATACGTAGTTAATTAAATAATGTAATTAATTAGTCATAATGTTTGCTCTTGGCCGAACAAGAAAATTAGTCTTAATGGAGGTTTGAGCTGTCATTTCACTATTGCTTAATTACTTTGCTTAATTAAGCTTGACCCTGTTTTCAATTACAGCTGCCTCTTGTTGATGGGTCATTAGCATTTAATTTCCTTTCAATTTTGAAGCTACTAGGGTTTGTTCCACCATTTAATCATCCATCTGATTATTGGATATGACCTATACCATAATTTACTAATTTTTTTTCATTTTATGTTTTAATTAGGTTTTTTGTTTTCAATATTCATTAGGTCTAATTGTGATCTGAAACAATGTAGGGGTGACTTTAGTGGACAGTTTACTTTGGGATATTAATAATTGGGTGTTACTGTTGACGCTGTTTGTCCGCATCTTAAATTTTCTTCCCTTTCGTTGCTATAATGATTGATGTATGAGGCGTTCATTGCATTATCCTTCATACATTCAGATAATGGAGAATCCATCCACTCATAATCATGTCTCATCAATTTCATTCTTACGAATGTGATTCTACTATATCATATATACATATATATAAAATAAATCCTAACTAAGATTTTAATTTATTAGTTTTAGTTAATCGATATAATTATTAATGTTTCTTTAAAATTATATTTAATAGTTTCATTTGTATTAAAATTTATTTTTATCTTTAATTAACGGATGTTCTTAAGCAACCGTTTAGCTAGTAAAATCCTTGAATGATACACTTTAAAACTTTCAAAAATGAAGTGTAATATGAATAAAGATTAAAGAAATTTTTATTTTAAAATTAACTCTTAGTTATCATTAATAATGAAAAAGCAAAGCTATGCAAAAGACTCCCCTAGTTATTCAAATGATAAGATCGTTGGAAATCTAAAGAATACCGCTAGATTATTAAAAATTTTCATAATTTAGATCAACTGGTATATCAAATATTAAACAAATTTTCCTATTTCAAGTATTCTAGTTAGGATTTCAATGTTGTAAATGAAAAAAATAATATATATATATATATATATATATGTATATATGTATATAAAGATTTTTTCTTATTAAGTTACTTAATCCAACTTTACTTAAATTAATTGAAGTGTAAAGTAAATTTTGGATGAAAAAAAATAAAGAATCAATCACTTTTAAAAAAAAGTTTTTGAATGAGGTTTAATCATTAAAAAAAATTACTTATTATAAAGTAAGCTATGCGCCAACAAGAACAAAGGACTCGATTAACTTGAAACAAATAAAAAATGAAGTATTGTTCTTAAAAAATATATGCACTGAGATTTTTTTAAAAAGGTTTATCCAACTGAACTTGAATTAATCAAAATTTAATGTTATTTTACAATATCAAAAAATTAAAGAAAAAGTCTGCAAAATTAATCCCAAGCAATTGGTTGAGTAAAAGATTTTGTATAGGTATCAATTAATTAACTGTATAAAAGCGTATACTTTTTTAATATATTCAGGAAAATTGCATTCTAATAAACATGCTTTGTTGAATTAGTTATGATATCGAAGTAAAAACAAATAGTGTGCAAAATTGTTAGTGAGTCTACTTCTACAGGCAGGCTATG